CCTTGGCTTCCTGACCACTTTTCAAGTGTTCGACTAAACCTAGGAAGTGTTAGGATTATGAGGCTAAATTACACAAGGAAACATGCAAGATGGTAAAGGTTTCCATCATGCCTTTGCCATCATAATTATTTGTAATAGTTTTATAACTATCTAGATGGTATTGCAATAGTGTTTTTAACTCTTTGAGTACTAATTAATTATCTTTTTAAATAATGGCCCCAATAATAGATGTGGTAATTCTTAACTAAAGCTAAATTATTTTATTGGTAATATCCCTTCTTATCCAAGGATTATATGTATTTATTACATACAAACAATACAGATTCAGTTATTACATGAACTGATATTCAAGAGAGCTTTTGGAGTGTCATGTTGTCCATTGTCTGACATGGCTCTTGAAACCACAGTATCTATTACTCACTGACATCCATTATTTTTTTTAATACAGCAACATGGAAGCCGTATATGGACAATGTTATTTTTTGCCACAGGGATTTCTGATGGAATTGGTCAGAAATAGTGCATGCTTGTCATAAGATGGGACCAAGTAGATTGCGTGGTCTGGCTCCGTGACATAATTGATGGAGTATTTCTGACAGCTCCATTAAATATATCGTCATTCATGCACTCACTGCATGGTTCTTGCCAACTACTCAACCACTTTCTCATGTCTGATCAAAAACGTTCATATGCAGAAAGTATGTAGTATTAGGAATAATGTATACTTAATCTTGTATTTTGATATTTGACACAAATTACAGTAACCATTCTTGAACATGTAATTTCAGCCATCTATTCAGCCAGTTATGTTTGTTTGTTGTTGGACGCAGCACAATATTCCAGCTATATATGACCATGGCTTCGATCGAGTCTGGACCAGACAATCCAATGATTGACATCATGAGCATTGATCTATGCAATTGAGTCAGCCAGCTGTGAATGCGTCAATGTGCAAGATAACGTACGTGTGATGTCTGGTTATGTGTGAAATGCTGCAATTGTTTTCATCGCGTAACATGGACAGCTATTCCATACTCCCTTTCTAAATTCTGAGTCTACTGTAAACCATGTTCTACATGCGGAATACACTGTCAATATTCAGGACTTAATTCTAATGTCACTTTGGTCTAAATTCACAAATCTGCCAAGAATGATGACACGGATGACCAGAGATGGCGGTAAATGTTTTCAGCTTTTGTGCATGCAAGTTGCATCTGTCGTAAATATTACTATCCAGCTAGCTAACCAAGTTGGTGTATAAATGAAACACAACTCTTTTGCCATGACTAGACTTTATTACATCTAGTTGTCACTTGTCTCTTATAGCCATTAAATAGATCTACTGTAAAATAATTTTTATTACAGTTTTTTCCAACATCAACAAGTAAAACAATGTTTTCTGAAATAAAAACCTATCCTTGAGATGATACAAATAAGCACTCACTAAACAAATGTAATTGTCGCCATACACCGTGCACTCCACCCACCCCTAAAATAAAGTTTCTATACAATGATTATACATACAAATACATATTCATCATACAAACAGTACAAACCACATTCAAGAATCATCTTGATGAGCTAACATAAAATGAAGTAATCTATCCCTTATTTTCTGTTGGTAGTTACTGGTTGTCAAATATAGTAGTAGTGAGGTATCAACATCAGTATGCTGAGTCGTCTATATTTCATTCACCCCTACAACTGGCCTTCGTGTCCTACACAGACGATACAAACATACAGTAACTAGAAACAAACCAAGCGTTGTAGACTCAGCAACGATTACTTCAGGTGGGGCAACATATTCATTGAAACCTGAACTTTCCTAATACATGTAGCAATTATGTGGCAGCACCGCAATCAAGCCACATGGAATGTCGGACAAGACATAGTTCAAGGCAGTTTCCAGTAAGCAGCTACTTTATGAGTAGAATGTCTAGATCCCTTAATAATTTGACACCATCAGGCAGGCTATGAAAACAACATTTTTGATTCTCAGCACCTGGAACAAAGCAAAAACATGCCAAAAGCATCTTATTTCTCTTTTTCAAAAGCACATGAAATTCAATCCTGCTCCAAATGTGCCTTGCAATTCAAAATTCTTATTCTATTAGCCCAAAGGTAAGTTAGTAAACCAATATATCATTCAGACATACGTCAAACATTGAGGTTTAGTTTCCATGACTTACATATAGACTGGCAAGATACTATATTCCTCAAAACTGTGTTAAGAACATCACAAGTACAATAAGAATATACAGATACACCCAATATCACATAATGCTACAAAATGTATATACTGGCTGAAGATGGTAAAAGTAAACAAATTGCCATTTTCAAACAATAAAAGAAACATTGTAAACACAGTTTCTGAGGAAACAGTTTGTTCAGGCACCTACTACAATACCATAGCAATGTGTACCAGTAAGCTAATATGATGGAAGACAATTAATTGAAGTGGCACATATCCTTCATCTTCCCGAGGCAAGTGAGTTAACTGAATCTAAAAGTCCAGTTTCCACCCTTGCCGAACTAGGCTGGTATTATGAAGTTACAAAGTACTTTTAAGTCAGTTAACTCTCTTCCCTAGGGAATATGATATCCTTAAGTAGCAACATACATTGTCAATTGTTAATATCTTATATCACATCAACAATCTTGTCACAGTCCCAGTCAAATGCAATCTAATTAAAATCTGATCTAAGTTTTCGCTGCCACTGAACAAAGATCTGAGGACATCCCATTACAGGTCACGTCAGAACGACCTTTCACAAACTTTGACCGACCATTAAAACGACTAACAAGAAGTCGACATCAACCAGTTAGAAAGCAGCTTTCTCGAGCTTTACGGCACTCGTTTCAACCTGGCGACTTCCATTTCAGACTACGCTGGAAAAATATGTTGACACAGTTCTCAATTAAAATTTTGAAAACTGAACAAACGAACATGCCAGAATGTCTAATATATGGTTGTGATTGTATAGCAATGCTTCCCACATACTGTGCAACGCCTCCTCCGTTCAAATGTTTATCCCTTTATCCCACGGAAGCGAGAGATATATGATAGTTTTGATGGAATCAGTTGTACAGGCCATAATTGTCGTTCAGAATATCCCGTGTTAACATTTTTGAGGTTGCATGATTAGAAAACAGATTCCGACTGTCTCTTTCATGATCTGGTAAGCGACGCTTTGAATGGTCGGATGAAAGGTCATTCTGACGTGACCCGTAATGGGATGTCCTCAGATCTTTGTTTAGCGATAGCGAGAACTAAGATCTGATTTTAATGAGATTGAGTCAAATGTCATTCAATATGATTATATTAACCATCAACAAATATAGACAACCATTGTGTAACTGTACACTGAACAGCAACAACCGATCAGGTGCCTGTATTTGATACTTAAGTGAGAGGCACTTCTAGTTATATCCCAGTCATTGTATATACCGGTAGGTCAAAGAGAATCAGGAAGGAGAGGGAGATGAGCATATGACAGAGTGAGTGAGTGAGTTGGGTTTAATGCCTCTTTGAATAGTATTCCAGTTGTATCACGGGGTGTCAGCTTAATGTTGGAGGAAAGCAAAAGTGATGCAGGTCTAAGACATTTACGACTTTGGTGAAACCCATGAGCACAGGTATGGTGCTGACAAACCTAGAAACATAATAATGGTGAACCGGAATTCGAAATCTCAATCAGGTTTCCAGCATATCCAAGGGACAACATCTCTGCACAGCGAAATGCGGCAACTTAGACAACCCGTGCCCTCAGATTCATTATAATAAAGATAGTTTTGAACAAAACTGACCGCCACATACTATCAAATCAAGTATTTTTCATAAAAACAAAATACTTTGGCTTCATGGAGGTCAGGAAAAGATGGAGAAGCATCTGGAAGCTCCTCAGTGTCCAGCCCACACCCTCTCCCTCAATCATAAATGACCAGTCCCTTAATAAGAGGTGTGGAGTGTTGAAGCTACTAAATTAAAAATACAGCAAATATATAAAGTTAAATTGAACTTATTTTTTTCTTAGTCACTTTTCAACATAAAAGGGAATATGTTCCTGACATTTTCACTTTTTCTCCTGTTGCTGATTTTGATATGAATATACTTACTCTGTTGATAGGTCACATATTCTGTATGTTTCCAGCACTGACTTCTACACATGCCCAAGAGTAACACAGGAGCTTCAGTAAGGGACCGGCCATTTATTGTAAGGGGTGGGTCAGAGGGAAGCAGGAGTGAGGAACTACAAAGTAGGACAGTCCCCAGGGGGACAAAATGGTCATCGTAAAAAAGGACATTTTATAATAAAATATAAAGTGTTTTTTCATTTGTCTTTTCAGGGAGGGTCATGAAATGAATGTACAAGGACATGGGAGGATCATCCAAAAATATGACAAGCATTTTTTAATTTTAAAAGTTAAGTCTGAAAGTTTAACTCACACTGGCATTGAAAGATAACATCTACAACTCCTGCAAACACATAAGGAACAAAAACATGTATACTTTCATACAATGAAACGGTCATGTTCCTAATGTAAATTTGATAAAGTCTTGCTAGGTTCCCCATGCCTAGAGAGACACCCATCAGAACTTCAGCACTAGGTAGGCAAAACATTCAGGTTTCCAATAGAGAAACTGTGAATAACAATACATGGGAACAGAATGAGGATTTATTTTGGCATAAGCTGCAAACTGAAGCTGCTGCATTTCCATTAATCGTGCAGTCTGGTCCTTGTGCCACAAAGAGATCACAGCATTACAGTTTTAATAGTTACTGCAAAGATTGTACACTGAGGAGGCCAAGTTAGAGTTACCTCCAGATATAACAGCTCCGTGGAAAATATATATAACTGGTTTGTTATATTCAACCTTCGCTATTTAGGTCAGAATGATTTATTTCCATGTGCTACAAACAAGCGAATATTAATAAATAAGTATTTGAAAAAATACTGTCATTGATTGAATTTTTTTTTTTGTGACCTCTACTTACTGATCATATTCCAAGCTGATTGTATTAGGGAGATTGTGATGCTGGGTCAGGCTGATTCAGCAGTGTGGCACAAATATCACCTTCTTCTCATCAACTGGTCTTGCAGACATTTTGGGGCACAATGATCTGTCCTGAGCTAAAAGTAATATCACTTGTACAGGCAATTCCTTGATTGTCCATTCGACTATGATACATACTCTGGACATATTCACCAACATAGCTTCGTTTTGCCAATCAAATTACACTGTTCTTCTATATCACCAGTTCTTGACTTGAATTGTTGTGTACAATCTCAAATACAACTTGGAACACCTTGTGGCATAAGGACTGCCTTCCCCGTTGTAATACTTTGGAAACATCCTGTCCAGGTGAAAGTTCATTTATAACAGTTTACATACAATACACTGCGGGCTTGTTTGTACGAGGCTTCAATTTTTAAGTTGGATGTTGGCAGAACTAGCATTTAGGAGTTTCCTTTTGATTTGTTGTTGATCGTAAGTTCAGGAGAGATAGTAAGAGACAAGAAAGATATTTTCCCTAACGAAGCTAAGGTGGTGAATGGGTCCAGGGTATGTATGAACAAAATAGAAACATAACACTCTGGATAAAGAAGGATGGTCCACGGGCATTAAGTAAGAACTATCTTTGGAAGAAGTCTGACATGTTTGTAAGGCAATCTGACAACAAACAAGCAACAACAGCTAACCGTCGCTTCTGACACTAAAAGTACCAGTAGGTATAAGTTCTGTGACTTATTTACCAGGCTGAAACAATTCAACAGGTCACCATGACATACAACTCAACTACACGATACACAGTATGCCAGATGGTTCAGACACTGGTACTAAGGGACTGGTCATTTATTATGGGGGTAAGGGGTGGTGGTAAATGAAAAACTGACAGTGAAGGGGGGGGGGTTCACATCTAGCAAAACAAAGTGGGTTGGCTAGTGTGCGATGATGGGCTTATTCTGCAACACGACGGTCATACCATGACATGAGATACCAGAGCCTCTGCTTGTAATGATTGTTGTCAGAAACATAGGGTTACAGGTGAATCTTCTATCAACAATGCTAAATGATGCGCTATCAAATATATAAACAATAAAGCAGACATACAGCTATTGATTGTCTCTAGGTGACATCCTCAACTTTACATGCTGTCTTTCCCTTTTCAGGAGTTTGTGTTAAACGCTGCTTTTAACCATATCACAGTATGTCGGCTTAATGTGAGAGGAAGTCCTGAAGTGATGCAGGTCTTAGATGTTTACCACTTTGGTGAAACCCAAAAGCACATGTTAGTGCAGATACACCTAGAACATAATTGGTGCAAACCGGGATTCGAACCCATGATAATAGGTTTCCTGGGTGCCCAAGGGATGCAACTCAGCACAGTGAATTGCGGCACCTTCGACAACTGGGCCACCCGTGCCAGTGTGCCCAAGGGATGCAACTCCGCACAGTTAATTGCAGACCCTTCGACAACTGGGCCACTCGTGCCCTCTGTCTGACCAGCAGGATGGAGTGAAGCAACAACACTATTTCTGTTGCCCTTCATATGTCCCTGATGTGTCGTGATGGCAAGACATGGTGATGACCAGCGTGATCTCTGGTTCACTGGGCATCACCATCATAATAGTTCTCTTCCTCCTCATCGTCTTGGTAGGCTTCCTCATCGCTGTCATCTTCATTTAGGTCCAGGTCAAGGACACTCTGTCCCTCAGCCTTCATGTCATCATCGATATCATACATGACATCCTCACCGAGGTCGTCACTGAAAGCAGTCAAATTTGTCAATGTAATCATGTCCTATTCCAGTATAGAATCTTTGTGATGACTGGGAAATTTCTGTTTAGTAATAGCTAAAGTCTAGCCAAGTCATGATCTTTCTGAAGCTAGTGAATGAGTGAGCCATTTTCCAGCTATATCATAACAGCCAGTAAATATTCAAGCCTGGGCTAGGAAGACCAGTGGCTGATATCATGAGCAGCAAGCCACACCATCAGGTTAAGCTGCTCACAATCAGCCAAGCTACACACTGTGCCCACCTAATCCTCATTAGTCAGCTGTTAGACAAGCATAAGGTACTGGGGACTGATTCCGTCATGATCCGATGATGGAAGTCCTTCTGAAACATCGTCAGCATTCTTGATTGAGAGAACCCCCTATTTAGAACCCTCATGATACAAATACCATTGGACATAATTTCGTACCCACGATTCATAAATCCAGAAATATACTTATGTCAAAACTGGTACTGCCCTGATCAACAGGTCTCACTGAACAGGAGATAAGTTTAATTTCTGCCTACCTTGCCATAGTTCCCTGGTTGGCTCCACCCATGCTGTGCTCCAGGTTGGGCATCTGCTCGAAGGCCGAGCTCGTCTTGAGGACCCTCACCAGGGACTCGCAGAACTTCAGCCCCATCTCCTCCAGCATCTTGGTGTTCATGTGCAGGTCCTGCAGCGAGACAACATCTTACAGTCTGTGTATACATGCCTGATCCTTCCTTCAAGGTTTAGTGCTCTGCAATAAGTATCCTTGAATGGTTTTATGGTTGTACTTAAAGTTAGTATCTGCCGCCACACCACAACACAAGCAAGTTGCCACAGCCAGACTCACGTTATACTTTGATCACAGCCACAGTAACTCCTCTCCATGGCAGACATACCTGTGTACTACCTCACCGTACCAACAGTTGTCTCCCCTGTCTACAGTTGCAACAGCTAGACTCACCTTATACCTGCTTTGATTGCAGCCACTGTATCTCCTCTCCATGGCAGACATACCTGTGTACTACCTCGCCATACCAACAGTTGTCTCCCCTGTCTACAGTTGCAACAGCCAGACTCACCTTATACCTGCCTTGATCACAGCCACAGTAACTCCTCTCCATGGCAGACATACCTGTGTACTACCTCACCGTACCAACAGTTGTCTCCCCTGTCTACAGTTGCAACAGCCAGACTCACCTTATACCTGCCTTGATCACAGCCACAGTAACTCCTCTCCATGGCAGACATACCTGTGTACTACCTCACCGTACCAACAGTTGTCTCCCCTGTCTACAGTTGCAACAGCCAGACTCACCTTATACCTGCCTTGATCACAGCCACAGTAACTCCTCTCCATGGCAGACATACCTGTGTACTACCTCACCGTACCAACAGTTGTCTCCCCTGTCTACAGTTGCAACAGCCAGACTCACCTTATACCTGCTTTGATCACAGCCACAGTAACTCCTCTCCATGGCAGACATACCTGTGTACTACCTCACCGTACCAACAGTTGTCTCCCCTGTCTACAGTTGCAACAGCCAGACTCACCTTATACCTGCTTTGATCACAGCCACAGTAACTCCTCTCCATGGCAGACATACCTGTGTACTACCTCACCGTACCAACATTTGTCTCCCCTGTCTACAGTTGCAACAGCTAGACTCACCTTATACCTGCCTTGATTGCAGCCACAGTAACTCCTCTCCATGGCAGACATACCTGTGTACTACCTCACCGTACCAACAGTTGTCTCCCCTGTCTACAGTTGTAACAGCCAGACTCACCTTATACCTGCTTTGATCACAGCCACAGTAACTCCTCTCCATGGCAGACATACCTGTGTACTACCTCACCGTACCAACAGTTGTCTCCCCTGTCTACAGTTGCAACAGCCAGACTCACCTTATACCTGCCTTGATCACAGCCACAGTAACTGCTCTCCATGGTATAGCTGCGCACCACGCCTATTTGCCGCCACACCACAACACGAGCAGTTGTCTCCTTAGCCCTCTCAACCACAAAGCTACAGTTCTGTATGGAGAAGGACTGGCAAGCTGAATGCAAGATACGAGGCAAAGCCTGAAAAGGAAAAACACTTGACATGGCGATTTGGACAAATAGGTTTGTCAAACTATGATACTTCTTGTGCAACTGCTTGTACATTTTATTTTCACAAAATGAAATACCAAATAAAATAATCTGTGACTATATGTACTTAGGGTTCAAAATTAAGCATGAAAGTCAGGGGGTCCAGGTTATAGCTGTAATGCTAAAAGTGAAAGTTTTAGTTGATCCTTAGATTCAAACAGCAGGGGAGTTAATCTCAAGGTTCCCAGGACCACCCTTAATTTTGAACACTGTGTATTAGATCAGAAAACAGCAGAGTAAAGCTAGTGGATATTTAAATCCATTGAATTTGGCTATCCATAGTTTAAATAGAGCCCCACAAGAATTGTACCTACAAGCAATAATGGCTAAAATTAACTACCAAATATTGATCCCAAAGAATGGACTGATATTAATTACAAGCAAAAAATATCAAAAGCATATTAGAAAAAGTTAATACCATTATGAAAAGAGAAAATATAGGCTGTGAAATATATATGTATCTCTTACAGCATGGAACACTGCCCACTGTCATCCCCTATGCCTATATATTAATTCGGTAAGTCACCATGATCTGCCCACCTTGAAGCCATTGTCTTCACTCCTGTTGCCTGTGGTGGCAGGGTTCTGTGTATCACTGGGTATCCAGGACATGGAGGGGCTACAGCCATACAGGAAGATGTTCTTCCGCCGTGAGTGTCCGTGGTAGTCGCAGTATACCTAAACAGATAACAAGTGTCCATGGTAGTCACAGTATACCTACACAGATAACAAGTGTCCGTGGTAGTCACAGTATACCTACACAGATAACAAGTGTCCGTGGTAGTCACAGTATACCTACACAGATAACAACAGTGTCCATGGTAGTCACAGTATACCTACACAGATAACAAGTGTCCATGGTAGTCACAGTATACCTACACAGATAACAAGTGTTTGTGGTAGTCACAGTATACCTACACAGATAATAAGTGTCCGTGGTAGTCACAGTATACCTACACAGATAACAAGTGTCCGTGGTAGTCACAGTATACCTACACAGATAACAAGTGTCCATGGTAGTCACAGTATACCTACACAGATAACAAGTGTCCGTGGTAGTCACAGTATACCTACACAGATAACAAGTGTCCATGGTAGTCACAGTATACCTACACAGATAACAAGTGTCCGTGGTAGTCACAGTATACCTACACAGATAACAACAGTGTCCATGGTAGTCACAGTTTACCTACACAGATAACAGTGTCCATGGTAGTCACAGTATACCTACACAGATAACAAGGGTCCATGGTAGTCACAGTATACCTACACAGATAACAACAGTGTCCATGGTAGTCACAGTATACCTACACAGATAACAAGTGTCCATAGTAGTCACAGTATACCTACACAGATAACAAGTGTCCATGGTAGTCACAGTATACCTACACAGATAACAACAGTGTCCATGGTAGTCACAGTATACCTACACAGATAAGAAGTGCCCATGGTAGTCACAGTATACCTTCACAGATAACAACAGTGTCCATGGTAGTCACAGTATACCTACACAGATAACAAGTGTCCGTGGTAGTCACAGTATACCTACACAGATAACAAGTGTCCTTGGTAGTCACAGTATACCTACACAGATAACAATGGTGTCCATGGTAGTCACAGTATACCTACACAGATAACAGTGTCCATGGTAGTCACAGTATACCTACACAGATAACAAGTGTCCATGGTAGTCACAGTATACCTACACAGATAACAAGTGTCCATGGTAGTCACAGTATACCTACACAGATAACAAGTGTCCTTGGTAGTCACAGTATACCTACACAGATAACAAGTGTCCATGGTAGTCACAGTATACCTACACAGATAACAAGTGTCCATGGTAGTCACAGTATACCTACACAGATAACAAGTGTCCTTGGTAGTCACAGTATACCTACACAGATAACAAGTGTCCATGGTAGTCACAGTATACCTACACAGATAACAACAGTGTCCATGGTAGTCACAGTATACCTACACAGATAACAAGTGTCCATGGTAGTCACAGTATACCTACACAGATAACAAGTGTCCATGGTAGTCACAGTATACCCACACAGATAACAAGTGTCCTTGGTAGTCACAGTATACCTACACAGATAACAAGTGTCCGTGGTAGTCACAGTATACCTACACAGATAACAAGTGTCCGTGGTAGTCACAGTATACCTACACAGATAACAAGTGTCCGTGGTAGTCACAGTATACCTACACAGATAACAATGGTGTCCATGGTAGTCACAGTATACCTACACAGATAACAACAGTGTCCATGGTAGTCACAGTGTACCTACACAGATAACAACAGTGTCCATGGTAGTCACAGTATACCTACACAGATAACAAGTGTCCGTGGTAGTCACAGTATACCTACACAGATAACAAGTGTCCGTGGTAGTCACAGTATACCTACACAGATAACAACAGTGTCCATGGTAGTCACAGTATACCTACACAGATAACAAGTGTCCGTGGTAGTCACAGAATACCTACACAGATAACAAGTGTCCATGGTAGTGACAGTATAACTACACAGATAACAAGTGTCCGTGGTAGTCACAGTATACCTACACAGATAACAAGTGTCCGTGGTAGTCACAGTATACCTACACAGATAACAAGTGTCCGTGGTAGTCACAGTATACCTACACAGATAACAAGTGTCCGTGGTAGTCACAGTATACCTACACAGATAACAAGTGTCCGTGGTAGTCACAGTATACCTACACAGATAACAAGTGTCCGTGGTAGTCACAGTATACCTACACAGATAACAAGTGTCCATGGTAGTCACAGTATACCTACACAGATAACAAGTGTCCGTGGTAGTCACAGAATACCTACACAGATAACAAGTGTCCATGGTAGTCACAGTATACCTACACAGATAACAAGTGTCCATGGTAGTCACAGTATACCTACACAGATAACAAGTGTCCGTGGTAGTCACAGTATACCTACACAGATAACAAGTGTCCATGGTAGTCACAGAATACCTACACAGATAACAAGTGTCCATGGTAGTCACAGTATACCTACACAGATAACAACAGTGTCCATGAAGTCACAGTATACCTACACAGATAACAACAGTGTCCATGGTAGTCACAGTATACCTACACAGATAACAAGTGTCCGTGGTAGTCACAGTATACCTACACAGATAACAAGTGTCCTTGGTAGTCACAGTATACCTACACAGATAACAAGTGTCCATGGTAGTCACAGTATACCTACACAGATAACAACAGTGTCCATGGTAGTCACAGTATACCTACACAGATAACAACAGTGTCCATGGTAGTCACAGTATACCTACACAGATAACAACAGTGTCCATGGTAGTCACAGTATACCTACACAGATAACAAGTGTCCGTGGTAGTCACAGTATACCTACACAGATAACAAGTGTCCTTGGTAGTCACAGTATACCTACACAGATAACAAGTGTCCATGGTAGTCACAGTATACCTACACAGATAACAAGTGTCCATGGTAGTCACAGTATACCTACACAGATAACAAGTGTCCATGGTAGTCACAGAATACCTACACAGATAACAAGTGTCCATGGTAGTCACAGTATACCTACACAGATAACAAGTGTCCGTGGTAGTCACAGTATACCTACACAGATAACAAGTGTCCGTGGTAGTCACAGTATACCTACACAGATAACAAGTGTCCATGGTAGTCACAGTATACCTACACAGATAATAAGTGTCCATGGTAGTCACAATATACCTACACAGAAAATAAGTGTCCATGGTAGTCACAATATACCTACACAGATAACAAGTGTCCATGGTAGTCACAGTATACCTACACAGATAACAATGGTGTCCGTGGTAGTCAAACAATAGTTTCCATGGTTACCAGGACATTATAGCAGTGTGTGCAAGAAATGGTACCGACAAGTTACATCAATGTGTGGACTGACCAGGGGGGTCTTGCTGACCATGTTGAGATACTGAAGTAAACCCTTTGTGTGGTATATCGTCGGGTGCAGCTGGGGACAAGGGTGTTGCCATCGACGATTCAAATCTTCAGCTACCAATGAACATCTGTGACTGGAAACAAGAGTTGCATATAATAACGGATACAAACATAATATTGATGGAGTCAATTTTTACAAAATGTGTCCCTTGATGAGATGAACATATGTCATTTGGAACGATCAGCAAAAAATTATTGTGCTCAACGAATTTAACGGTACCGTCACATTGCATTTAGTGAAAGCTTTTTCAAACAAACTCTGTCAACCGGTCATATCTTTATAGCTGATATCCTGGCAATATACTTTCCTGCAACTTGATCTTATAGCAAAACTGCTTGTCGCGACCTACAGCAAACTGGACATATACTCACCACCAAAAGAAACACGAAAACCATACATGTTGGTTAATACATGAAGAATTCCTCTTCTTCAAAAGATATTAGATTGGTTCAATACAAAAACGAACACACTGTTAAGACACTGTGGTAACACTTGACTGATTGTTAGTTTTGTCATGAAGATGTACACATATGTCTTAACGTACATACAGCTCCATATGTTTCTATGGTTTGCATTTCTTTTGGCAGTGAGTATATATCTGACGGTCAGCACAAGTGAACAAGGATATCAATGTAAGTCTGTTTGCTATACAAGCACTGGAGACTGCCAACCATGCACTGTTTGTTGCTCTACTCTCAGGTCAATTGACTTACTTTCCGTTGATGACACCATCAGGGTTCAGCATAGGAACAATCTTGAAGATGAATTTCTCTCGTAACTGTTGAGCATGTGAACTCTTGCTCATCAAAAAGTCAACAGTACCTGCAATAGCATACACTGAATCACTATTTCAATCTTCATATGATTGCATTATTAACTGATTTGTTTGACTTAATCATGTTAAGTTGATGGCTGACCTACAAAACACAAGAACAAGAATGATGGATTGGTTCATTGGTACATACATCAGATCACACTCACATAAGTATCAGTTAACACAGGCAGCACCACAATACTGAAAAGATTCATAATACAAACATTCAGGGGTGCATTAGAATCAGTTGTTAAGTCTTGTTCACACTGAGCCATATCCAGATGACTCCCCAGTCAGTGATAGAAGAAGTATATCTGAGGCGTTAGAGAAGGGATGTGATGTGAAATCACCCTTCTTGTCGCGCTTAAGAATAATTCACTTTTATAGCAACGAGCAGGCACGTGTGTGTGGCTGTATTACTATATAGTACTAGCCCATTGAAATACCATGCCACAGTTAAACATTTATTCCCCACTGAGACACAGTATACTGACTCCAAGCTGACCGATCCTTGTTTTAGCCCCTCAGTGCCAACTGGACATGGGCAGTGGGTTATCAGGCAGAGAAATAACAAGTACCATCTTTTACTGTCCCTTGGTATGAAGCAGCCATGGGGTTGAACCATTGGGCTAAAAGGTGTGGGAGAATGGAGACATGGTTCCTCCCTGATGTATGCATACCTTTCATGATCCAGCTGGCATTGCTTTCCCCAGGGTGGACGCGAGCACTCAAGAAAATGTATGGGCGACTCCCTGTTGATATGAGAAAATACAACTGTTTATTACAATACAAACATTACTTTGTCAAACTATTTTTTTCAATTTAGTCAGTATACATGAACTTTAAACAAGGTTATTACTGAACCACACAGCCATTACTTCCCATCTCCATGCAGGACGAGGGACAATGAGGTAGCCTCGTGGTTAAAGCCTTGACTCGTCAAGTCGAAGGCCCGGGTTCGATTCCCCACATGGGTACAATGTGTGAAGCCTATTTTCCGGTGTCCCCTGCCGTGATATTGCTGGAATACTGCTAAAAGCGGCGTAAAACCATACGCACTCACTCAACCATGCAGGTACAACACCCAAATGACGGGTAACAGTTGAATTACCTGGCGATTTAACACCTGATTCTTGAACTGTTGTCTAACTGTGTCTAATTATCCACACTGAACTGTATGTTCACTGACAACTTATTTTTTTTTATCAAATTTCTATTTTCAACAAATCTGCTCTCACTCAGAACTTTAAAAAATCCCAGAACATGCAGCGAATAAAAATGATTGCTCTTTATAGATGTTTGCTGTAAGGAGTAAGTGAGTTGGGTTTAATATCAATTTGAACAGTATTTCAGTTACATCAAGGCCTGTCAGCTTAATGCGAGTGAGTGTGAATGAGAATGGTTTTACGCTGCTTTTAGCAATATTCCAGCAATATCACGACAGGGCCACCAGAAATGGGCTTCACATATTGTACCCATGTCGGGAATCAACTCAGCTTAATGTGCAAGGCCAGGGATACAACTCTGCACAGCAAACTGCGTCACCTTAGATGGATGACTGAGCCACCCCTCACCCCTACTGTAAAGGATACTGCAATTGTAGAACTTGTGGTCTATATAGATACAAGTGACTAATATACCCTACAGTGTCACCTTGACGTGTTCCAACAATGCAGGCCTCCTTGCATTAGTCACACAGCGGACACATTGCAGGCTACCTGTCAAAATCCATCTCACTTGTTCCTCAGGCCGGATCACCCATTATATCCAAACAAGAGCCTCCCAACAAGACCTGTGCCAGTGACTTACTGAACTCCTCTATGCCCTCCCTGTCGAGAGTGTGAGGCTGGGCGGTGATGGTGAGGACTGGGGTGGCGTTCCCTCCCAATGTGTCACACAGGGTCTGGTTGTGGTAGTAGATCTGTCGGGTGTCCAGTTGCCCCTCTAGCTGGAACAGGTGGGTCTACAACACACAGAGCAGCACAACCTGTCAGTCTACAACACACAGGGCAGCACAACCTGTCAGTCTACAACACACAGGTCATCACCACAGGTCAGTCTACAACACACAGGGCAGCACAACCCGTCAGTCTACAACACACAGGGCAGCATAACTGGTCAGTCTACAACACACAGGGCAGCACAACCTGTCAGTCTACAACACACAGGTCATCACCACAGGTCAGTCTACAACACACAGGGCAGCACAACTGGTCAGTCTACAACACACAGGGCAGCACAACCCGTCAGTCTACAACACACAGGGCAGCATAACTGGTCAGTCTACAACACACAGGGCAGCACAACTGGTCAGTCTACAACACACAGGGCAGCACAACTGGTCAGTCTACAACACACAGGGCAGCACAACCTGTCAGTCTACAACACACAGGGCAGCACAACCTGTCAGTCTACAACACACAGGGCAGCACAACCCATCAGTCAACAACACACAGGGCAGCACAACTGGTCAGTCTACAACACACAGGGCAGCATAACTGGTCAGTCTACAACACACAGGGCAGCATAACTGGTCAGTCTACAACACACAGGGCAGCACAACAGGTCAGTCTACAACACACACAGCAGCACAACCTGTCAGTCTACAACACACAGAGCAGCACAACCTGTCAGTCTAAAACACACAGGGCAGCACAACTGGTCAGTTTACAACACACAGGGCAGCACAACTGGTCAGTCTACAACACACAGGTCATCACCACAGGTCAGTCTACAACACACAGGGAAGCACAACCCATCAGTCTACAACACACAGGTCATCACCACAGGTCAGTCTACAACACACAGGGCAGCACAACCTGTCAGTCTACAACACACAGGTCATCACAACTAGTCAGTCTACAACACACAGGTCATCACCACAGGTCAGTCTACAACACATAGGGCAGCACAACTGGCCAGTATACAACACACAGGTCATCACAACTGGTCAGTCTACAACACACAGGGCAGCACATCCCATCAGTCTACAACACACAGGGCAGCACAACCCATCAGTCTACAACACACAGGGCAGCACAACAGGTCAGTCTACAACACACAGGTCATCACCACAGGTCAGTCTACAACACACAGGGCAGCACAACCTGTCAGTCTACAACACACAGGTCATCACCACAGGTCAGTCTACAACACACAGGGCAGCACAACTGGCCAGTATACAACACACAGGTCATCACAACTGGTCAGTCTACAACACACAGGGCAGCACAACCCATCAGTCTACAACACACAGGGCAGCACAACCCATCAGTCTACAACACACAGGGCAGCACAACAGGTCAGTCTACAACACACAGGTCATCACCACAGGTCAGTCTACAACACACAGGGCAGCACAACCTGTCAGTCTACAACACACAGGGCAGCACAACTGGTCAGTCTACAACACACAGGGCAGCACAACAGGTCAGTCTACAACACACAGGTCATCACCACAGGTCAGTCTACAACACACAGGGCAGCACAACCTGTCAGTCTACAACACACAGGGCCGCACAACTGGTCAGTCTACAACACACAGGGCCGCACAACCCATCACTTTACAACACACAGGTCATCACCACAGGTCAGTCTACAACACACAGGGCAGCACAACTAGTCAGTCTACAACTGATTGCTATTTCCAGCTTAGTTTACGAGAACATACACACGGTAATCTTAATCTCTGCATATAAAACAATGCCTTTGAGAGCAGGAAATACAATTTAAATGGTAAATCATCATGTCTGGTGATGTTTTATATCAAATTTCATATTTTTATTGACCAAATTTGTTATAGATCTACCTGCTTATTCACCTGGAGGGATACGATGTGTTGGGTTATCAATACTCGATAAATCTTTTTTTACACTATGAATTATAAATAACTTCTATTCTAATCTTTTTTGAAACTCAGAAACGTGCAACGTAGATCGTGTTAGGTTGGCAGAGCATGTATACTGTTTTGTTGGTCATCTATCACCTACGACTTGACCTTCGTTAAACCGCTGATCATCTATAACGCTCATCAATTCTTTGGACCCAGAAGTTGGCGTTGTTGCAAGGGATCATTGTACCATGAGAGTGGTGTAGGTGTATGGGTAGACAGACTTACCATGAGAGTGGTGTAGGTGTATGGGTAGACAGACTTACCATGAGAGTGGTGTAGGTGTATGGGTAGACAGACTTACCATGAGAGTGGTGTAGGTGTATGGGTAGACAGACTTACCATGAGAGTGGTGTAGGTGTATGGGTAGACAGACTTACCATGAGAGTGGTGTAGGTGTATGGGTAGACAGACTTACCATGAGAGTGGTGTAGGTGTATGGGTAGACAGACTTACCATGAGAGTGGTGTAGGTGTATGGGTAGACAGACTTACCATGAGAGTGGTGTAGGTGTATGGGTAGACAGACTTACCATGAGAGTGGTGTAGGTGTATGGGTAGTGGTAGGCCAGATAGCAGATATCCCGACTGTGTTTAAACTTGACAGTGAAGGTAGCGGTGTAGTATGATTTGCCCTTCACGCCGCCAGTCGTGAGGCCACTGCGGATGAAGTGGTTCTTGTAATAGCAGATCTCTGTTCCCACTCGCTTCCAGAACCCACGGCCTTCCACAGCATCAGTCACAGAGTACATCACCGGCTTCATGCCTGCAACAGTTTCACAAACTCAACCTCATCCTAACAACTTCCTGTCACCTAAACAGTTCAAAATATACCTTATTTTTCCTCTAAAATATATAAAACAACACAAAATAAAATGTATACTCAGCGGTAATACACAAATAACTCCATTACTATGAACTAATTTTACTGTTGAACTGACCAGTGTTCACATCTGACCTACAAATGACTATTTTACCATTTTCTTTTATACCCAAAAGCATGATATACAGATACTGTATACAAAATGATTATCATATCGTGGCATAAAGCATTTTGATACAATCTCATTCAAATGAGATCTTTTATTCTGATTCCGTACCTCACTGAGTAAAGATCTGTGGACACTTCAATAGGAGCACGAGCAAGTGAAGCATTTGGACAAGTATATCTGATTTCTGTGTCTCAAAAATTAATATTATAAATTCCAGTTTGCATAAAAAGTAAATCAGCACTACTACATTATTGTGGGTATTTCCAATCTCATTAAATCATATCTTAGTTTTTGCTACTGCTCAACAAAGATCTGAGGACATCCCATTAGGGGTCACGTCAGAACGACCTTTCGCGAACTTTGATGCTCTGATTGGTTGGATGGTCGTTCTGACGTGACATGTAATGGGATGTCCTCAGATCTTTGTTTAGAGATAGCAAGAACTAAGATCTGATTTTAATGAGATTGTGGGTATTTCATAATCCTGCCGATTCTGAGCACCATGGCATCTACACCCAAAAGGGTGTAATATCAAATGTACATTTGTATTGAGGCAATTTTCTTTAGCTAAAATTCAAATTTCCAAATCAATGTGGTAAAGAAATAAAGCCAAATTGTTTAAGAAAGAACTCATGCATTGTTCCTTTGATTGAGCTGACAAAGTTTGCTCCGTGTTCACTTGACGCATCCTTCCATGGAGGGGTTGTCGGATCTTGATGCCAAGAGGTATCACAATGTGTTGCAGCACGAGCTACATACAGCAAGCTATCACTCTAGGGCTGGAAGGAGATAAGACTGTAAAGACATACAATACAGCTGAAGCTACCTGAGTTGAACTGGCTGTTGAGTTTTTCACAGTTGACAATGTTGAAGCGGTACGGCATGTCTGCAACCATGTTGCTCACTTCAAAGTAGAACCATTGATGATGATGGTTTGTGTTGACGTCGGGATTAAGGATCAAGTCGTACTCATATTCACGTACCTGAAGGCAACAGTACATGATGTCATGACAACACAGTGACTTGCAGTTGTGGTCCTCTTTCTTATCTTGTTAGACTCGAGAGTGATTGAGTCTGTAGCAATATCTAAGCATTGATAGATATCAAATTGTATAATCACTTCAAGACTGTTTTCTTTACTCACAATTATTTCATTATAATCATTTCGTTATCTAATTGGAGTAGCACAGGTGGCACTAAGGTAAATCAACTCAATGTGAAGATTTCTTCCCTTGACCTCACCAGGATCTGCTGATGATGGGTTCGAATCCCGGATTTACCCTTATCATGATCCCTGATTATCAGCATATACCTGCACTTAAGAGTTTCATCAAATATGTACATGTTTATGACCTGTACCACTTATGGCTAAGCTGAAAAGCCATGACAAAACTTAAATACTGTCGAAACCTCACTCCTAGGATATAGCTGGGCCCCTTTCCACAAAGAGATCTCAGCCCTTAGACAATTGAAACTACCATACTTTAACAGAGACGAACTACAGTTGTAGTGCTAAGATCACTTCATGGGACCCCTGAAGATCCGTGTTAGAATAGGTCTTCAGCAACCGATGCTGGTCGTAAGAGTGGACCAACAGGATCGGGTGGTCAGACTCGCTGACTTGGTTGATGCATGTCATTGTATCCCAGTTGGGTGGATCGATGGTCGTGATATCAATCTCTTGATTGTCTGGTCAAGACTAGATTATTTACAGACTGATGTCATATCTCTGGAATACTGTTGAGTGTGGTGTTAAACAACGAACAACCAAACAAACACTTTGGGAAACAAGGCCCTAGACCATATGATCTCCTCTTTAATGAGCGCTTATCTTACCTGAATGACTTTCCTGAGGTTTCCACTCTCAAACTGAGAGTTAAATCGTAAGGCACTACTGGTCATGTCCTGTCTACCTATCCTGAGAGCAAAAATGGCTGTTACATTTGGCATCATAATAGAAACTCGCTAAAGGATGCTAATACATCACCTGCAAAATGTGCAGCTTAGAATAATAACAGCTCTGTATGGTTGCCATTGTTTAAGCTTGCATATCCCTGCCCACATTAAACACAATGTCCTCAGTTTGTTACTTCAGATTTCATTAATGTGGAGAAAAAAATGAAAACTTTTAAAGCATTCTTTTCATCCTCATCCTCCCTTACAGAATCTGTGAAGTTTCAGGCTTATTTGTCAAGTGGTTTCCAAGGAGGTGACGCTTACTATGCTTACAGTGCAAGGAAATGCATTTCGAAAGAATTTTGGGAAAGTTTTGATGCTTGTTTATAAGCACTGTGCCTACCTGAGCTCGTCTCTATTGGCCAGGTTAGAGTTCTCCTTACTGTCTCTTGTAGCATCGGACACAGCAACATCCATGTTGTACACCACACGGTCGATTACGTAGTCAGGATGGATCATTCTATCAATGTCCTCAAATACTTTGGCTCTACAATTGGACAAATAGTACAATTATGACAAAAACATAAGTGAAGCATTCATCCCCAATCCAGATCATAAGCCTTCTATAGGTGTAACAGGCTAGACATTTGCACAAGCCCGCCAGCCCGGACCAGTTTCACTGATGTTGAAGGTCTTCTAAGGGCTGGTTAGAATTTCAAACATTTAGGGGGTATTGCTTAGTATATGGGGCAAGGAGACTGTCTCAGTTAATTTCTATTCCTGTAACAGTAATATAGAGTTCAGTGTGGAAAGGGTTTGTTCCAGTTGCTAGAAGTACCACACACACTTCACCATGATCACTTCTCTTAATCAGTAATTGAAAGCATATTTGAGCTATTGAATGAGTAAATGTGGCTAGCAAAACATGTTTCTATCTATATCACCATGATCACTAAGGCCTGTAAAACACTCGGGATGTGGCCAACCATTGGATGATAGCATGGGCATCCTTCACACCATTGAGGTATGATGACAAGCACTCCAACATATCCCCATGATCACACATAGGAAAGAGATCATCATTATCAGGGATAGAAGTTGGCTTGTTAACTGTTTATTATAGCATACATGGATAGAATTATCATTAACCCGCCAGCATGTTATCAGAAATGAGCGGGCCACTGTAACTTGATAATACCCTCATATTGCTTGATGACGGGCCATTATCACGCCCGTTGTTAGGTGACCTCATAGGGATAGGTGACGTCGCGTTCAATAGTGACGTCATCTGGTTTGGTCTATGACGTTTCCATATTTGTAAAAGTGGGTCAGTGACATTCGTGTTGATTGCACAAAATGTTTCAAAACCAATATCGTTGTTTATGTTTATTTGATAAATTCTTTCCATTTTAGCAATAATAACGATAACACTATTTTTCAGGGCATTATCCCTTGCAGAAACCCTCGTTCTTTTCAACTGTCCTCCTTCATCAGGCAGTTAATGGAAGACCTCGGGCTTCTACAAATGATAATGCCCTTAAAAATAGCTTTACCCTTTTAATATTGTCTGTTTAAAGTAAAGGGTATCTTGCAGGCTAGTAGGATTTCAGAAATTTTATTGGGTTTTAGGGGTGTCCTTTTATGTCTCTATATCCCAAACTAGTTCAAATTTCTCGCACTGATTATAGTTGACCCTTATGACAAGGAGGGGTCATGGGGATCAGGTACACGAGTCCCCCAAGAGGAATACATATTAGAAATCATGTTGATAACCTTTTCAAAAACTGACAAGAGTTGGAAGAATGATTTTGGATGATAAATAGAATCTCACCCTGGTTAATCGAGAGTTTTAAACATTTATTGACTTGTGTGTAACTTTTACAAATGTATCAACAAGAGACGAGTTATTCATAATGTATATATAGAGATTACTACACGAGTGTCTGTCAGATACCATTGATCTTACAACGAGTTGTTTCAAAACGTATCTAACGAGCGAAAGCGAGTTAGATACGCTTTGTAACAACGAGTTGTAAGATCAATGGTATCTGACAGACACGAGTGCAGTAATCTGTTTCTTGCACACCCTTAAATCGCACCTTTTTAGCATCGAACCGATGAATTTTGTCTATTCTCATGATTGCAGTGGCGCATTAATACATGTTACACCACTGTCATAAGTGACGTCATCCTATGTGCTGCTTACTACTCATAAACAATGTGACCCTACACAAAAAGGTTTCCGTCCTATCTGTGGATTATCAAGGCGATGATGAAAATGCAAACTAGATAAAAACCAAGAACACGCTGGGTGCCAAGTTGAAATTTTACACCGCAAAGAAATAACCAAATATGTACAACAATGTTTACTTCTGTATGACATCACTACCGGTGACCGACTTTTACAAAATGGCGTGTTCACTGACAACAGTACGCGGGATTTCCAGAGGAGGTTTTCGTTGATTAAGAGATCGTATACACATAAATGTGTCACGTAAGTAATCAGAAACATTCTGACATTCTGCGTACTGTTATTTGTTTACCATGTTTTCCAATGTAACAGAGAATTAGTCAGAAATGCAGATAACTAGGCCTACCGTCATCATTGTGCGTGATTTAGCGTCAGTCATGGCGTCACACAGGACGGAAACTTTTACGGCTTCTGTTGAATTTACCACATCATTGTAATGTAAATATGTGTAATTCCATAATTAGTGCAACGATACTCTTCCCATGAATATTCTCAAACGCGTGATCGAGCCAACAATTAGACGAAAGTACCTCTTTTAATGCTACAGTGTAAATCTGAATTTTGCTTTGTTTACATTTCAGCAAGTACAATTTTCCGAGCACAGTTTTCGTGTTCATAGCTAATTTATTTCGCATGATTCCATCTAGATAATTTGCATTGGTGACAAAGACCATTTATCCATTGTTTCGAAAATGTATGAGGAATTCAGGGATGCATGTATAGAAGCTGAGTTTGAAATATACCTGATCGAATATAGGCGTCTCATAATCGACATTTTGTAAACACAATCCAATATGGCAGAACGTACGCCTCGGCGTTCGTGTGTGCATATTTTCCAAAACATTCTAAACGATTCTAGGCTTATCAGCGACGTTTCAGAGTTATCATTAGTGATTTGATACCCGTGATCGCTAATATGCTATTTTTCTACTTTAAATATTCGAGTAAATATCCGATATTTAGATTTCTAAACACACAGTAGATTCTAAATATTTATATAGCGCCGTGAACTGTGATTTGGCGAGACTTACAATGTACCTAACTTTCAGTCACTTTCAGTAATTTTGAATTGCCTAAAATGACAGTAAATGATAAACAGAAGGGGGAATTCAAAACTGTGAAGATTCTGCGTGATGTATTTTGAATTTTATTCGATTTCGAAGTGAGGGTTGAAGAGAAGGGACATGTGTCGCTGTGGCAGCCAGGGGGTTTACACTCTGAAAAAACGATAATGTTGACATAACAACAGATAATGTAACTGATAATAATAATAACAAACAAACGCGCAGACGAGGACGAGTTTGTTTATTTTTATTATTAATTACACGGTCCTATTGTTCAATACAGACGTAGGTGAACATTCGACTGAAGCACGAGCAACTTATGAATGACTTACTCAGGAAAGTAGTCCGTCATCATCTGACCCCAGGTCATCACCATGGAGTAGCCAATCACGGGCCTGGAATTCGATCTCACACATATGTTTGATACCAGTTATCTCAAATGGGTTTCTCACCCACAGGTGTGTAAGAAACTACACTTAAATATTGTAATGCATGTCTTAATGAGTCAATGATTCATGAATGTATACCCATGAGAGAGCTACTTACCTCTGCACACCAAACTTTCTGTTATAGAGATTCTCAGGTAGAGGCATTGCTTTGGCACCATGGAGGTCTGGGTAAGCCAGTTTCTCAAATCTAAAGGCACTTTTTGTTGCTGAGGCTAAATGACTATGAACCCTGGGGTCATATATCAAGTCATATTCATCTATATCATCACTGCTGGATGACATGGGGCGATCATAGTCCTCCAGATAGTCATGGGGTGTGGAAATTGGTGTGATAGACAGAGCCTCTGTGAATTCAGGCTCCGATTTGCTTCGTTTTGATTTCTTTTCTTTTGTTGTTTGGGACTTTTTAGAATTTTTTAGCTTTTTGGAAGGCCTTTGCGAGGACTGGGCAGATTTTGGCAAGGGTTTGTTACTATTTGGTATTTGAAGATCCAGAGAAAAAACACTGGCACCGGTTTTCACATTCACTGCTGTAGCAGTTTCATTGGCCTGGAAGGGCCCATACCGCCCAAAGCTGATGTCCCGTTCTACATCAGGATGATGGTTGCTTATCCGACTCATGGCTGTGTCAGACTCACTAGTACCAAGAGGTCTGTGTGATGTCCGGCCATAACTGTCACTGATATTGGAGGAGGACTTGACTCGGCGGCAAGCAATGTCTTGGTAATTGTTATATGCACTGAGGAACATTGGTTCTGAGGCAGCAGTGGGAATCACCACTGAACTCAGGGGTTTTCCACCTGGAGTCTGCAATTATACACAGTACGTGAGAAAAAAAACATGGCTGTTAAATACAAACCATACATGGTAGGAAAACAACAAATATATGATAAATATAACTAATTCTTGAATTAGGCACCAGTACAGGGCAAAAACAGATTTTACTTAACTTGACCATAAAGTAGCACAAAATTATTCAAGAGGAACTTCTGGCCAGTACCATTCTTTAAAAGAACCAATTCAACAAAATTATATAATTAAAAAACACCCTTAAAAATTGAAATTCCACAATGAGTTTGAAAATTACTTTAGTCTGATTGGTCAGTCAGAGGTTTCAAATCGCATTTATCACGTCTGATTGAAACAACTGTCTTGATGGCATTATCATCGCGGATGGTAATATTTAAAAGTACTTCTATCTCAATCATTATTCAATCAAAATTCAAATTGGTATGGTTAAATCTACAGGTAACCTTGCTGTACATTGAAAACAAAGCATGTTTATCTCATAAATATTCCTCATAATGTTATGTCTTGGGTTTTTAAAGTAACATTTTCTTACCTCAAAATCATATTCGAATAGTTCAGGAAAGAACTTGTCATACATTCGGAGGTCTTCCGCTGATCTTTGTATCATTGGTTCCAGTCCATCCCCCTGCTCCTCATCAGGCTGAAAACATTCACACATACCATGAACAGCGGAATCTGTCGGAATCAGACTTGTGTGTGACCATAAGTTTAGTCCGGTGTAGACAAAGGTCTCGCTTAGTAAGATTGTAACAAGAGTTGCTATCCATACTGTCCTGATATGAACATGTGGGGCCAAAGACACAATTTTCTAAAAGTTTACAAGAATCTGATGCCTGTATTTATAAAACACATCAATTAAGAGACATACTTTTATAAACCTTTAATAAAACATGTATCCATTCTTTCTAATTGTTTTTGGACCCAAACATTTTCAAACCAGTGTCCTAACCTGAAGAAATGAGTGAGTATGGTTTTACGCCATTTGAAGCACTATTCCAGCAATATCACAGCCGGGGACACCAGAAATGGGCTTCACACATTGTACCCACAAGGGGAATAGAACCTGGGTCTTTGGCATGATGAAGGAACCAGAGCTCCAGATAAGCTTTTGGTGTTGTGGGTATTTTATTTTGTGGGTTCGAGAGCTTTATAGGACTCAAAAATACCACGATACTTCCACAAGAAAGTGTGATGGCAAATGATCATGATGTAACTGTCATCGTGGAGTTTGGCAAGGTTGACGGAATGCCCGTTTATAATTTAAAAATAAGTTGCTGATTTGCTTATCGAATACGCAGGGTTACTTCACAATATTTTGATGATACGCACAAGTTTTATTTTTGTTGCGTATCTGTAATGTTCGTTGCGTATTTGATACGCTTGGATTATATTTTACTGTGTATTTCTGCATTTCTGATGCGTATTTCACGCAGATACACAGCTTATCTGGAGCTCTGGGGAACCCTTTAACCACAAGGCCACCCCACCAACCCCTAACCTAAAGAAGGGTACACACTAATGTTATTGATAAATGTATTAATAATTTTTTTATTATTTTAAAGGGTAACAATAATATTTTTAGTGATATTTTTATAACTCATAACCTTGAACACTGAACTTTTCATGACATGTACCAAAAGAAATCAATTGGAAAAAGTCCATTGTGGAATAATTTCACATTTCAATAGTCATTGTGTGGTAAACACATTATAAACATGACCAATGGCAGCAGGCAAAAACTGTTAAAACCTCACAACAGTCCTGTATCCCTGGGTGCAAATTAGACATATGACCTACACAAAATATATCCATGCTCTGACCTGTGACACTTAAAGGGGAAGTGTACACGCAAAAATCAATTTCTTTCTTTTTCTAAACAAAACGCAATTTTAGAATTAGTTAGTATCTGTGTTTGAAAATATACACTCATTTTTTTCACAGTGGAAGTAGGAAGCTCACAATAGTGTGAAAATGTTATGCCGTTATGAGGCCTTCGTTTTTCGAGCTAAACAGGCCTGAGTTATCCCCCTTAGATTATGACGTAATTGGTGCCAATTTAACTGGGTCCCTGTCTATTCTGAACGCAAAAGATATCAAGTACCAGTTTTCGGTAAAACAACATGGCCTACGACACACTCCGGCGCAGTGGTGACTCAGCATAACACTATGCTGGCTGGCATCTGAGACGCTAGAATCACACACCTGTACCTACACCACCTGAAGCGGCTCTAACAAAGCATGATGACGTCATAATGTTTATCAATTGGCACCAATGACGTCATATTGCAAGGGGCATAAGCCATGGTGTTTTTGTTATGGAAATAGAACACTTGGTAAATGTGAAAAATATAAATCGTTTTAATGCAAAACATATGTTAATTAATTGTGATATTTTTATATTTTTGTCTATGACACTTCTAGGTTAACACTTTTATTGTGGAAAAAGTACAAGAAAATTAGGTTCATTTCCGTGTGAACTTGCCCTTTAACCTACCTCATCTGAGTGATCAGTTCGGAATCTTTCATCATCACTATCAATATCATCATCATCATCCATTGAGCTATGATCACTTTCTTCTTGACTTGGCACAGTACCAAATGCTGAAATATTACAGTCATGGCATAAGTAGCATAGTATCATAATTTATTACCTACGAGGGAAAACATATCAGGGTTAATGAAAATCATATGTGCCCTAGTGAAACATCATGTCACGAGACAAAATTGTATTGTTTCATTGACGGCATTGTTGACGTCATTCGATTCTTGTTGTGACATGAGGTCAGGATGACATCAAACTAGAAATGACGACATAGCTGAAAATTGCAGACATCATTTGACAAATTGTGGTTCAGCTGCTGTTGTGACTTGCTGTCCTTATAAGTAAGCACAAAAATTCGTCTCTGTATGTAGACATCTTCTTTGGTAATAAATCAAACATCATATTCGTGTTCATATCATACTATGTTTACGACACTCAGGGATACATTCTGGTATTTCCCATGCTCTCGCTCGGGAAATACCGGAATTTAGACACTTGTGTCATAAACATAGCATGACATGAACACGAATATGATATCATATAATGTCCTCTATAAGCATACAATGACATGACAGAAAACACATGGATATTAAAAGGGAAGATGAGTAGATGAGTTATCTACCTTGATAAATATTGACATCTGTAAGTATCATTATTACGGAAACTAAAACCAGGTATTACAAGATCAACATGATAATGCAGGAATTTATTCTTAATTTGACAAACAAATTGATAGCAATAATGTCTAACCCTACCTTGCTCATCAGACAGGCAGCATTCTGGGACATGGAAATCAGATGCCGGCAGCGGGTAGGACACACAACTCTGCACGTCAGCGATGGGCAGTTTGTTCCGCGGACAGCACTTCCTCATGATGATACTGGCCAGCAAGATAAGACTCTCCATCTCACGACAGTCGATCACCTCCTGGGAAGTCTCATACAGCACCCGGATACCCTCAGATTCCACAAACGCCTTCCTGCCAGATTCTGTGAACATGGTGAACAGTTTCACATGTGGAATGTGTGAGTCGATACACAAAGCAGAATATCACTTTGCTGGCGCATTTAGAGCATCAAACAGTTAGTATGGACTCACTACTTAGAGTGATTATTGACCAAACAAATCATAAACCTTTCAACAACACATATTTGAAAATATAATCAGCATTATTCTAGACTAGTACATGCAGACATACACACACACAAATATATATAAGTGCAGTAATCTTGGACGTGACCATTTCACTTCACCTAAGATATAATCAAGATATAGCTTGTAAACACAATGACTCCTAACTCTCTCAAAAGGCACTTAATCGCGAGCACACAAAGTCAGCAATCTAGCCCACTCAGCCAACGAGGCTTCCACAAAATTGAAGTCCGACAACTGGTCGTCTAGATCACATACTTTGTGTACCCCTCTGATAAACGTAAATTGGCACGGATCCCAATGCCAAAGGATATAACTTGTTGTTCTTTTTTTTTATCAACAATATTCAGGTTCTATCATGGCAGCCTGTAAATAATAGTCTGGACCAGGCCAATTAGTGGTTGACAGCATGTGGAGGTGTGATGACACAATAAGACAAGTCACATGTCCTGATCTCCACTGGAGTTTTCCTATACCTGACAGACTGTCTGGCAGATAAATTTAAGACTTCTTACATATTCAGTTTTATTACATATATCTATATATATAACGCCAGGTATAGAATCTCAAGTGATACCGTATATCGCCGTCCTTAAAGCAACCCCCTCTGTAAAAGCCTTTAAAATCGATGCTAGAATATATACCTCGTCTATAATGTGATCACACAAGCACATCATCAGCGCATACACAATCCCTACAATAAAAACGTGCTTGTCTTCCGCAGAAAAAATAACATCATATCCCTTCAGCGAATTCAGATAAACGAACAGGTGATAACAGTAAAACTTGGTCAATACAAATTTGAAATTTGAGATGTGGTATTTCAGCTGAATCAAGATGCTATTTGTCTCATATTTTAGAGATTTTTTTCATATTTGTAATGTCTGAATGCGGGCTGGTAACTTTGAAGATTGGCAGGCAACACTTATAGGTCACCTGCCCTACTGTCTCTGGGTTTTAAAATTACAGAGTGTGTACACCTGCTGTTTACAGAACTGAGTTTGTGTTTGACATTGGTTTCGGCTTTCAACAGTATTCAGTTATGTCATGGCATATCAGATTGAAGTTAGAGTAACGTTTTCAACAATGTTTTCCCAACAGACATAACCAGAATTAAAGTTAAATACAATATACTCACATCTTTTGAAAAGGGAATAACCTAACCAAAGTATGGGCACTGACAACGGAAACTTCACATATCTCATAAGTATATATGTTTACCACTTTGGTGTAACCTACCGCCCGGGATTTCAAACCCAGGGTCACAGGTTTCCAGCATACCTAAGGGATGCAACTCAGTACTGCAGTTTGCAGCACGTAAGATGACAGAGCCACTCCTTGTTCACAAATGGGACTTACTGAGGTTGGTGATGTTCTTGAGGATGTTGAGCACAGCCTTCCTGAGGTTGATGTGTCTGTGTTTGCTGTCTGTCTGATGCCAGTCCGTGTAGAGAGACAACACTGTGGGAACTCCTCCCATGCCAATAGTTCTTGCCGAATTGCTTTCTGTAACAAACAGATGCTATCATGTCAAGAAAAGTTTGTCAAGTCAAATAGCCTTTGCTGTCATTTTAGGCCAATGTATGACATGCCCATGCACTTCAAGTGAAAGAGCAGATGTAGTATAGCAAAGTAAGAAGTCAGACTTCCCAAGTTTGCCCTTACTTGATTTGGTGAGGTTGTTCAGGTTATCCAGGGCAAGCTTGAGAACAGCAGTGTGCTTCCTTCCACAAAGGGAGGAAACTTTGAACATGACAGTGATGGAACTGTGTTTGCCTAGGTAGGATGCATTTACACCTGATAATGAGAAAATCCATGTTTTATCAATGCTGCCAAACAAAGATATTCACAACAAATATGTCCATCGGCAACAACAGGAAGAATTAAGATCTTTTCAAAGGACCAATTCAACAAATTGCATATCTTTTTTGAATGAAAAAGGCAAATTTATTCTTTTCTCTTTCTGGACAAGTAGAGCTGACTTTTACAGTCCCATGAGGTTTGTTAATAAATCTGCATTAAATGTTGTAAGAAGCCAGCAATATAATGAGTGACTGCATAATCTATCACTCACTCTCTTCCTAACCATGCTAACAGTCTCCGGTGATCCGGGGGGGTGACTTTTGCCAAAATTTGAAGTACAAACACATTAACATTTTCATGATAACCAGTTCATCATAACTACTAAATAATATTGCAACAGTTAGATTTAAACCTTTTTGCGATACTATAGCAATATAGGCACACCTGTTCCAAAAGTATTGTGATAGTTTGATAAGTACCTGTATCGTCCTACATCTACTGTTATCTTAACTTAGCAATGTATGGCCATCGGGCTCAGGACAATTGTGATGCATCAATAATTTAGTCAATCATTATGCACCAACTAATAACAATCAAATTTCAGACCAAACGAAACATACTGTCATAAGCATGACAAGAAAGACTGCAAAGCTATTGTCCCAGAGAGTACATGGTGTGGAGAGAGTGCATCCCAATGGACTACTCACTGTTGTTAGTGTACAGCTTGAAGACCTGTAGTAGACACTGTAGGTTGCGGAAGCTGGAGCTGTTGCTCTTGATGAGACTCAGCGTCAACAACAGCACTTTGTTCAACCGAGCCTTCACAGCAAACTTACGATCTGGAATGCAATATTTCATTTTCAATATTGAGGATTTCTTGTGATTCCTTTCACAGTATTCTGCTCCATGACAGTGTGAGCCCATGTAAACATATGGATTATTGGATTATGAAAGTATGAAGCTGTACATTTAAATTGTTCACAAAAGATATTTGTTGGCCTATTCTTTTTTATCAAATGCTTGATGTCTCAAAAAGAAGTATGTTACTTTTTTCTTCTTCCTGCAAAGTGTGGTAACTAAGTTCAATATAGCTAGTATAAATAGGTCAAGTATAGGGCTGGGACGGGTAACTCGGGTACTCGGTAGGGCTGGGACAGGGTAACTCGGGTACTCGGTAGGGCTGGGATGGGTAACTCGGGTACTCGGTAGGGCCGGGACGGGTAACTCGGGTACTCGGTAGGGCTGGGACAGGGTAACTCGGGTACTCGGTAGGGCTGGGACGGGTAACTCGGGTACTCGGTAGGGCTTGGACAGGGTAACTCGGGTACTCGGTAGGGCTGGGATGGGTATCGCGGGTACTCGGTAGGGCTTGGACGGGTAACTCGGGTACTCGGTAGGGCTGGGATGGGTAACTCGGGTACTCGGTAGGGCTGGGACGGGTAACTCGGGTACTCGGTAGGGCTGGGATGGGTAACTCGGGTACTCGGTAGGGCTGGGACGGGTAACTTGGGTACTCGGTAGGGCTGGGACGGATAACTCAGGTACTCGGTAGGGCTGGGATGGGTAACTTGGGTACTCAGGTTGGGTGGGTCCCGAGTCGAACCCTGGTTAGCATGGTTAGTCATGTGACAAATTTTTTAATGACAATAACAATAAAATTCCATGGTTACACCAGTACATGTTGCTAATGTTCGCATTTCATTCTGATGATGCACACATTCCTTCTGAATTTTATATATTTTAGTAAAACCAAAGCTTCAGTCAATTTCAGTATATGCATCATCAGATCGTTTTACACTATATCAGAATACTTCTAGCCAGGGCTCTGGTAAAAAATTCCCAATTGAACATTTTGTACCCAACTTGAAACCTATAGTGGGTACCCGGGTAGGGTCGGGTAATAGGAGGTCGTACTTAAGTTTGAACCATGCATAATTGCTTCAATCCTACCTTTATGTCCAATCCTGCTGAGCACCATATGAATATTCATGAGGAGGTCATCAGCCAATGTCATGTCCTGTGCTGCCATCTTGAGGATCTGGAAGAGGACTGAGGTCACTCCATGGTTGACCAGGAGACTGGCCCGCTTTCCTACCTCTGCGTACAGAAAACACACACACCATTACTCTCCCAATCACCTTTGGCTTTCAAAACTTGGGAGGCGACTTTTTTCTTTATAGTGTGAACAAAAGTATATTCCTTAAAATCAGCACTGAGGAGCTTACAAGATGCAAGTGGCAATTTCTGACATTTAACTGCCTGAGAATTTAGACAATGCCTTTCTTAGCCTAAGGTTATGACCATGGTGACATTATGAGTTTCAGCTTAATTTAACTTTTGAACAGGCAAGATGACATCAAAGACAATATTACATTACGTTTACTGCAATCTACATCATAGTGACCAAAAATGATATAAATAAATATATTTGGTTTCTGAACATTAGCCTTGCCTAGAGCTGTAGGGAAAGCCCTACATTTACTCTTACTGAACCAACTTATTCTAAATGTTTATGTTACTTACGAGTTTTTCCGACCAGTTCGATGAGAATACCAACTACCCCTGCTATGACCTGATCATCTGATGTATTCTGCAAACACAGGAAATGCATGGTCATGGAGGTTTGCGCTAAAGAAGTGAACACCCTGACACAGATTCTATGTCTCAGGAAGCATATCCATCAGCACCTTCATACCAGGGGGGAGTGATTTGGTTTTAGTGCCACTTTGAACAGTATTTAAGTAATATCAATGTGTGTCAGCTTAACCTTGGAGGTAAGGTCAAATTTAAGTCCTGAAACCCACAAGCACAGCTATGATGCTAACAGAACAACAGTTATAATAATAAGAGTGAGTGAGTGAGTGAGAATGGTTTTACGCCGCTTTTAGCAATATTCCAGCAATATCATGGCGGGGGACACCAGAAATGGGCTTCACACATTGTACCCATGTCGGGAATTGAACCCAGATCTTTGGCATGCCAAGTGAACACTTTAACCACAAGGCTACCCGACAGCCCCCATATTAATAAGAATGTTAAATATTGACATCATTGGTGTTATTTTCAAGATAAGATATTATTGTTGAAATTTTGAATACTCGGATACTTGAGGAGAATCGCCTTTTTGGCTAGTGTTGGATGAATCATCTCTATTCCACCCTTCTAAACAGCTGGTCCCCCACGTTGTGCAGGGCAAGTTGTCGTACCTGTAGTGTAGCCACCAAGATGTCAACATTGCTGGACTGCTTCAGTATCAAGTCCCGGTGCAGCTTGTCTGGAGCAAAGGAGGATGCTAACACAGTAATACCAAGGCCACAAGAAATTAGTCAAATCCAAACATGGTTTACATATGAATACTTATCCTGCATTACTCCTTAATGCAGTAAATACATTTAGGAGTAAATCAGGATAAGTTTTAAAAATTAGTAAAATCTAAATATTTTTTACATTTGAATACTTATCCTTCATTACTCCTAAATGCATTTACTGCATTACTCCTTAATGAAGGAAAAGTTAAAAACTTTAACTATTAGATTTTCATCCAAAATATTCTAGGCATCTGTGTAAATTAAATGTCAACAGATGTGATTCACAAAAATGTTTGGTATTAGGGGACAATAAAATATTGTGAGGCATGGTGTTTGGTAGTGAGGAACGAAGGGATGAAATTTTACAATTAATTTCTAAAGGCCAAATAGTAAATTACACTGTAACAGTTTCTGATCATGACAATCAAACAACTTTGATATTTAGACTCTTGAATTCTTAACAAAAAATAATTATCTGCCACTTATCCACCTATGAAGTGCGAGACTTCGCACTACGTTAGCGTATAACATTACTACCCCTGATCAGTGTGCATTCCAACTGCATTCTCCCCTCCCTACAGTGTATACAGCCTAGGCTCATTAGCTGCCTGTAAGGGGCTAGGTCTTGCAATAACATCATCATCTAATCCTTGGGGATACCCTTTCACTGCTTGGAAGCCTTTTAAAAGAAAATCACTTGCACAATGCTTTATAGCCTGTGTAGCCCTAGACACGCAAGATTTGTTTGTAAGTTTAACACTGCACTCAATATTCCATCCATATGATGGCAGTCTGTTAATAACTGAGTCTAGACAAGCATAGTCACCTTTTACGACAAGCATGAGTTGCTGAAGACTATTTCTTATCCGGATCTTCACAGGTGAGAAAATAAAGGGTTAACACACCTATCAACCTATTCAGTTCTGCATTGCTTCAATAACTTGACTTGTGAGCTGTGGTATGCTCTAGACTGGGAGTGTGTGCCACCACACAATTTGTTATTGAACAAAAAAATCTGTTAGAAACTTTAAAAAAGTGTGTAGTGCAAAAGATGCAATCAGAAAACAGTGGTAAATAATTGACTATGGTAATACTGATGTTACAGAAATCTCTTTACACTGTACACTGGCACAACGTCAGCACAACATGTTAAGAAACTGTAACGATGACAACAACATGCCTGGTGTCAATCTGACAGCCATGACTGGAAGTGGTAGGCAAGTTACATGTGTCAGTATTTCACAGCAGAATACACATGAAAATATCAGTTGAAGACAATAAACAAATTATAATTATGACAAATAATATTGAATAATTTATTCCTTTTCCATGTTTACGGAAAACCACAACAGGCAACTAAAGCATAAATAGTGATCAGAATACGAAAACGTATGACTGTCCAGCGCCATGAGCATGATGGGGCACTGGATCTACCTTCAACTATGCAATTATGCCGTGAAATATAGAGATTCTTAAACACTGCATAGACTTGTGAGTGGGAAAACACACCCTAGCAGGCAATACGATCCCTATACCTTAGTCGGCATGAAATCTGGTGTAACTTGCGTTACATGTTTTCATGTATGACATCGTCACATGAATGACTGCGTAGCTGTAAAGAACAATTGAGGGCGACAGTAGGCCTCAAATATTTTCCACTTGTGGTCGTAGAGGGTCTTAGTAGAGGAGTGAGTGGGTATGTTTTACGCCGCTTTTAGCAGTATTTCAGCAATATTATGGCGGGGGACACGAGAAATGGGCTGCACACATTGTGCCCATGTGGGGAATCAAACCCGGGGAATCAAACCAAGTTCCTCAGTGTGACAAGCAAAGGCTTTAACCACTAGGATACCCAACTGCCCCTCTTTGTAGAGGAACAGTGACCCTCCATGAATACTCTGACCTCTGTAGATGCGCCAAACACAATGATGTAGGATTTCTGGCAACAGGTGGAGCAGCTCGGAGTGAGGCTGAAGGAGAAGATTGTCCAGTTGTGGAAGATGGTGGAACCTTCTTTCTGTGATTTGTATGTACCAACGTGGTGAACCAACTCCGAGTTTGCCAAAAGGGTGAGACCAAGAGCAGTGTCAGGAGACTGATGGATGTCAGTTTCTGCAGGACCTGAGGTAGAACACCAGCTTCGGAAAAGGTGGAGGCCTTCCCACGAGAACGCCAGATCATCGTGGTTCCATGCTTGAGGATCTGGGATGGGAGAGACGAACCGCGTTGAACCTGGTTGCTAAAAGGTCAACATCTGGGCTTGGGTCAAGTTAGAATATCTACCGACTGATACATTGTCCGACTGGATCATGAGATGTGACTACGAAGGAGCTCTGCCCAATTGGACACGGCCAGAATGACCGCCTTGAACTCGAGGCTCTTGATATGGAGTCTTTGATGGACCACTGCCCTGCAACCTGTAGATCATGGAAATGTGCTCCCCAACCCACAGCCAATGCATCAACGAATGTTGGGTCGGGACAAATGACCACAAAGACCACAGTGCAAACTTTTGATGTTACTAGTCACCACTAGAGATGCAGAAGGATCGGCAGGGAGATTGGTACCTGGCAATCGCCACTCTGAAAGTAGGGCATAAGGAAGCACTGGATCGGCCTAAGGTGAGTGCTTGCACTGATGTCAGAAGGCTGAGTAGAGCTGTTGCTGTTGCTGTAGAAGGTGTGGCTGTCTGAGAGCCAATGGTACGAGATGCTGTATCTACAAACACCTGTCCGGAGGAATGAACATCTTGCCCAGGTTGGTGTCAAAGAGGGCCCTGATGAACTGGAGCCATTGAGTGGGAGTCATCTCAGACTTACATTGACGAGCCACCTAGTTGATTGAGAAACCTTTGCGTAAACTTGTAATGGTGCAGATCTGCATTGGCCTGACTGCAATCGTCCATGTAAGACTCGAACACAAAGCTGGGATGACGATCATGAGCGGCTCGGAGAACAGCTATCCAAACGTGCGACCAACAGAGACAAACATCTACAAGGAAAGGACGTCAAAGCTCTTCACTGCAATGGCGAACAAAGGATTGATCCCGATGAGGAGAGTGGTTATAATCAGTGCGGGAGCCGAAGTTAGGATAGGACGAAGCATAAGAATAACGCCAGGGAGGATAGGATTCCAAGTGCGAGGGGTAGCTCACCCAGCCACTTGGATGGTCTGCATAATCATTGTACCGATAGGGATCCCAAGCGCGCAAGTCTGGTCGATCGATAATCGTAGGAGCAGGAATGATCCCTTTGAAGATGTTGATCCGTGTAACTGGAGGACGGGGAACGGCACAAAGGAGAAGAACATTAGGTCTGAATAGGAACCATGCTCTGAGTCATGTGGGACAGGAGTTGTATATGAGTTATTGGTAGTACCCTTGTGAGAGTGTTGATCCCCAAATCATCGATAATGAGAGAGTTGATCCCTTGACTATCAACCTCGAAAGTGTAGATCCCGAGAGTGACCTGAACAATGATCCTAAGACAGTCGATCCCAAGGTGAGATGTGTTCTGGTGAATGTTTTTTAAGAAGCTGGAAACTTTGTTTTCACATAGGAACGAAAGAAGGAATATATGCACATTATGTAATAATAATTGCAAATATGAGATTGGTTTTAAAGTTTTGAATTGAGAAAAAAATATACTTGTCTAGAAAATAAGAATAAAAAGATATGCAGTGAAAAGTGAGAAATGTTTCTAGGATCCAATCTTCCTGAGGCAAGGGTGTTAACTGACTATAAAAGACCAGTTTCCACCCTTGCCGAACTAAGCTGGAATTCTGGAGTTACATTTTGGCTGGACTTACAAGTCTATGCATAGGCCAATCAAAATCGCGCATTCAATTCATTAACAACATGGACCACAACGTGCAGGATTTGCATGTGTATCATCAACTGGGCGTCAGCAAATATTTTCCAAATATTTTCATGTTTTTAATCAAGGTGCTCAAATGATTTGATATACTTCGCGAGGTAAGGCCTGTTTTATTACAATATAAATCTTGATTATCGATCAGAACGTCTTGACAGGGCGTCGCCATTTTGTTTGAAGCAAATGCAAGTGATGTGAGAAGTGGAATCTGACTGGTCAGTAAGAGGGACATAGAAGGGACATAACTTGTAATGGCCACTGGTTGTGCTACAATTGAGCCTGGAAATTCCATCATAGTTCAGCAAGGGTGGAAAGTGGACTCTTAAAGTCAGTTAACTCCCTTGCCTCAGGAAGATGCTGGGATCCAATCCCATTTAAAAACATTTATCAACCAATCAGCATGATCAGGCAAACACTGCCATTCAGTTTGCAATGTACATGAACTGCTATCTTACCTTGTCCTGTGACGATCTGGTGCAACTTGGTGGTGACATACTTGATCTGCTGCAGATCTTCAACTGTCTGCTTCTTGCTGGACTTCCCTAATGTCTTCTCCAACAGCTGGAACAGGTTGCTCACCCGGGTCCTGCACACACAACACACAACTGTCCTTGACACGTCCAGCATGAACAATCCTGTCTCCCTTCGTTACATAGACACACAAGATATACCTCCAAACACCAACCAAACACACACAACACACAACTGTGCTTGACACGTCCAGCATGAACAATCATGTCTCCCTTTGTTACATAGACACACAAGACTTACCTCCAGACACCAGCCAAACACACACAACACACAAATGTCCTTGACACATCCAGCATGCACAATCCTGTGTCCCTTTGTTACATAGACAGACAAGATTTACTTGACAGATTTACAGACACTCCCAACTCGCACCCCCAGACACTCCCAACTCGCATCCCCAGACGCTCCCAACTCGCACCCCCAGACACTCCCAACTCGCATCCCCAGACGCTCCCAACTCCCACCCCCAGACACTCCCAACTCTCACCCCCAGACACTCCCAACTCTCACCCCCAGACACTCCCAACTCGCACCCCCAGACACTCCCAACTCGCACCCCCAGACGCTCCCAACTCTCACCCCCAGACACTCCCAAATCTCACCCCCAGTCACTCCCAACTCTCACCCCCAGACACTCCCAACTCTCACTCCGACGCTCCCAACTCGCACCCCCAGACGCTCCCAACTCCCACCCCCAGACACTCCCAACTCTCACCCCCAGACACTCCCAACTCTCACCCCCAGACACTCCCAACTCGCACCCCCAGACACTCCCAACTCGCACCCCCAGACGCTCCCAACTCTCACCCCCAGACACTCCCAAATCTCACCCCCAGTCACTCCCAACTCTCACCCCCAGACACTCCCAACTCTCACCCCCAGACGCTCCCAACTCTCACCCCCAGACACTCCCAACTCTCACCCCCAGACACTCCCAACTCTCACCCCCAGACACTCCCAACTCTCACCCCCAGATGCTCCAAACTCGCACCCCCAGACACTCCCAACTCGCACCCCCAGACGCTCCCAACTCTCACCCCCAGACACTCCCAACTCTCACCCCCAGACACTCCCAACTCGCACCCCCAGACACTCCCAACTCGCACCCCCAGACACTCCCAACTCTCACCCCCAGACACTCCCAACTCTCACCCCCAGACACTCCCAACTCTCACTCCGACACTCCTAACTCGCACCACCAGACGTTCCCAACTCTCACCCCCAGACACTCCCAACTCTCAACCCCAGACACTCCAGACTCTCACCCCCAGACGCTCCCAACTCTCACCCCCAGACACTCCCAACTCTCACCCCCAGACACTCCCAACTCGCACCCCCAGACACTCCCAACTCGCACCCCAAGACACTCCCAACTCTCACCCCCAGACGCTCCCAACTCTCACCCCCAGACACTCCCAACTCTCACCCCCAGACACTTTCCAACTCGCACCCCCAGACACTCCCAACTCGCACCCCCAGACGCTCCCAACTCTCACCCCCAGACACTCCCAACTCTCACCCCCAGACACTCCCAACTCTCACTCCGACACTCCTAACTCGCACCACCAGACGTTCCCAACTCTCACCCCCAGACACTCCCAACTCTCAACCCCAGACACTCCAGACTCTCACCCCCAGACACTCCCAACTCTCACCCCCAGACACTCCCAACTCGCACCCCCAGACACTCCCAACTCTCAACCCCAGACACTCCAGACTCTCACCCCCAGACGCTCCCAACTCTCACCCCCAGACACTCCCAACTCTCACCCCCAGACACTCCCAACTCGCACCCCCAGACACTCCCAACTCGCACCCCCAGACGCTCCCAACTCTCACCCCCAGACACTCCCAACTCTCACCCCCAGACACTCCCAACTCTCACTCCGACACTCCTAACTCGCACCACCAGACGTTCCCAACTCTCACCCCCAGACACTCCCAACTCTCAACCCCAGACACTCCAGACTCTCACCCCCAGACACTCCCAACTCTCACCCCCAGACACACCCAACTCTCACTCCGACACTCCCAACTCGCACCCCCAGACGCTCCCAACTCTCACCCCCAGACACTCCCAACACTCACCCCAGAGTCCTGTCTTGTCCCTTGTCCTCTGTTGATGCCATAGTGCTTGACTCAGGGGGACGTCCTTGTCCTAGCAGTAGCCACCTCAATCAAACCATGACTTCAAAACACCAGGCATCCCCTGAAAATAGTCCCACATAGTGGTGGTAATCTCTGTGGTGCAGGTAGCAATGGAAATCAATAAGATCAGAAATAAACAGCACTACAGGGGGCTGACAGATTTATTGACGAGATAATGACCGATAAAGATAGTCTCATTGGCTGCTGGGAGATTGAAACAGTCTGCGGAGCAACCAGTGGCATATAGACACTTTCACGTTATTATCTTAATCATGATTAAAAGTTAGTTTAGCTAACATAATAATTGGTCCAATACAATACTGTCTTTTGCAATCTGGCTGGTATTATACCTTGCGGGGAAATAGTACGGTGGTACAATATAAGTCGTTACACAACCCTGCAAAATTATTTGCAATACAATACAAACAATTCGTTTACCATATTGTACAGAAAATCATAATGCAAATACTGATATAAGCTAGTTCATCTGACACGTCTAGCAGTCCACAAAAGAAGGTTCTGAAATGGACTATGCCTATCAGTGCCTGGGTTAGAATAGGTCTATAACACACAGTTGTTGGTTGTAAGAGGCGATTAAATTGGATCGGTTGGCCAGACTCAGTGACAGTGTAAGCTGTCCACCGGTCTCGAGGAGCATATGGGGCCATGTACCCTCCATGTTAGTTATGTTTCACCAAGGGGAAGATAAACTGACTTAGAGGGTACACAAACCCATGTCACCTAGGGGACAACAAATCTATCTTACCACATACTAATTATCGGTAAGAATACCACAGTTAGGCATTTCTTAGCAGATGACAAATATAAAACAAGCTTTATTCCCTCTTGATCTATATCATTTGGAAAATATCGTAATGATCCGGAAAATGGCATCCTATATCATTAATTCGAGACACAAAATTGATGTTGGTATGTTGCAAATGTCTTGCCAACAGTTTGGCAGTTCAAGCAGGATACATAAGAACTGTACCTTACATGGAAAATAATAGAATGGGTCTCCTCAGACAATCAGAATCAGAGAGAGGAGAGGAGAGAGAGGAAAGGTTAAGATTAAAAAATCAATGTTCAATTTTGGGTAAAATTTAGTTTTAAAGTTCAGAGATACATTTTGTATGGATGATGACTCTCCTTTTCATCATTTAGCATGATTTACAAGAGCATCAATATATATATATATGAAATTATAATTTTCTTTTGTTTGTTTGTTTGTTGTTTATTGCCACACACTATTCCAGCCATATCTATGACAGCGGTCTGTACATAATCTGGACCAGATAATCTAATTGACATCATGAGCATCAATCTAAGCAATTGAGATACGATGACATGCATCAACCAAGTACCGTATTCGATGTAATAAGCGCCCATGATAATATTTGTTCATATATTGGCTAGTGAACAATCCCAATTAGCACCCCTTCAGATTGATCAATGTACACAAGACTTATTTATTGTGTATAATACGCACTCGTGTGTTATATGCACCCTTAATTATGAGCAATTAAATTCGGGAAAAAATATATCTGTCTATATTAACATTTCAGGCTGTCAGCATAAAACACGAAATTTAAACTATTTTTAATTTTGAGAGTGCCCTGGGTGCTTATTACGTCGAAAGAGGTAAGTTAATCTGACCACCAGATCTCGCCTCCTATACAAGCATGTGTTGCTGAAGACAAATTCTCAACTGGATCTTCACAGGGTTTTAACTTTTTATAAAATTTAACAGTGAATAAATTCAGAAAGCACCAGTCCAAATCAAGTAACCAAGTACTCCTGTGGCACATGTGGCCAATTTCAGATAGTTTAAATCCGCTGGAAAGATGCCAGAATATTACACATCTTAGGCAAGACAACTTGGGTGGAATTTGGCCAGTAGGTACAAAAAAGTTTTTTAAAAATGCATTGTACATTGTTTATTTGGATCCCTAGCTTAATTTAAATCTTGGCCTGGTTTTGGTCCTGAGAAACATGAAAAATATCATAAAACTAAAATCTGACTTATAATGAAGATTTAATCAATGTAAAAAAATCTGTTTTAGTCATATAAATTTCCCTTGCATTATTTTTATTTTGAAAGCCATCTTTACCGTCAACGGTAGAAAAAACGTCATGCTGATTTTTTTCTTCTGAATTTTCACTTTTTAAGGTCAGGGGATCTGTAAACCAAACAAAATAAAAAGTAAGCCTTACACAGGAACCTGGGGAGTCACAGTTTGTGAACAACAAATCTGAAATGCACACAACACAATTCCCCTGCCTACCCAGTGAGTGTAGTTTCCCCTGCAATATTGATCTGATCTGCTGGCTTTTCTTCCCTGACACTTCACCTACACCAGGGGCCCTCACATCACACACAAATACCACACACATCCAATATACAGCTAATTAGTTCACCAGCCTCAACGCTTGCCACATGAAATCAATGAACCACTTCTAACATTCAAACTGACAGCTTAATCAAGTCATTGTTGGAGGTGTAAGTGTGTTTAAATATTTAGCTAGAATTTAGACAAGTTAGATATCAGTTACTCAAGGCAGAATGCCATGACTGAGAAATATGATCCGATAATGTAATAAATTACACTTAATACTCAATAAAAAATAGGCTAATTTAACTATTTTTTTCTTTCTGAATAATTAGCAAAACTCAACAGCAAAACTCTTTTGCTAAACAATGTTGAAATAAGAATATTGTATATTATTTTTTTTGTTTATTAATATCAACATTTCCACAAAAATTCATAAAAAAATTCAATAATCACAAGCGATAAAGGTTACATTACAGGTACTGATAGAGTGTAGTACAGTTACTTTGTAAGCCAAAATGAAGTGGGCACCCCTCGAATTATTCTAGCTTGGGCAGGTTTAGTTCTACCCCACATATCACCATCATAACATCACCATAATAACGTCAGTGATATGTCACAGGTATGCCACAGTCGGATATAGAAAAGCACTAATTTTCAAACTCTCTGTAATCCAAAAAACTTTAAATGTATACGTATTCAAATTCTATAGAGTTTTCTGCCCAAATGAATTGCCACACATACTTTGAATTTTGTAGTTTCTGGTTCAAAGGCAGGGCTATTCTCATTAATGTCATGGCACATTTAAGGCAAGGAATCAACACATTAATTGGTGAAGCATTAATTTCATGATTTACAGCACTTGGATTAAACTGATGTCGGTCAAAATCTAGTACTGCATAACATGTATCAACTGAAACATGGTGATATAAAGTGAGGCCTAGTGAGGTCCATGCTTAAAGCACATAACAATAAAAAGTCATGAAGGAGACAGTAAGTCTAAAGTATGAGTATGCAAAGGAACGTTTGCCATAGTGTGATGTCCGGATATTTGGTATGATGAGCAAATTCTTATTCTCTGAGAGGAGTTTAACTCATGCAATCATAATTGTGATCTTACTTTACTAAAACACTTCCTTGACTTACAGTAAGTTACACATGTTATGAAATATAAAGATTGAAAGTGCCTTGGGTATCAGTAACACAAATTCAGTAAAAACAATATCTTGTATTTATGCAAATCATGTACACAGCATGAAATCTTTCATCAAATATGTACTTTTTCCATTATTTGTTATTATTATTGCCATCTGTGTTGTCAGGCAGACTATTTGAGGCCAAATATACCAGCACTATCAATTCAATATTATAACCAACAACGGGTAGTTGATGTTGAGTGGATAACCATGATAACACACAACAGACCCTGATAATCCACAAAAACAGAGCTTCAGGGTCCCGAACCTTTCTGATAAATCAATAACGTTAAGTATGTTGAAGTCTGTGAAGTACTGGTACTAGAGATTTACGGGCACCCTGGGTCAGGGTGGTATGCCTGCCCCCCACTGGGACACACACCACACCACACAATGCACAGGGACCACTTGACTGATCCCAATACAGTATGTCCATGATATCTACCTACCCTGCCTTTGACAAACCTGCATTGATACTTCAAATCTGGTCATTGTAGTTGGAGTTTACTGCTCGGGGTAAATGATATCACGTGGAGATTCAGTGATAAGAGATAAAATATAACATGTTTGGTAACATTGATTGTACAAATGTGTTCATAAGACGATAGTGTATGTCTGTCATTAGCTTGACGGTCCTTTACTATTGAGTCTGTGTTAAGAAGCCCATCATTAAAAGCTTTTAAAGACTTGAATTTAGTTGAAATGACTCTGGATTATGTTGAAAAGTTCAGGATATAAGACACAAGAAAAACATGAAAAGGATACGTGACATGGACATGAACACTATGAGATCAGAATCAGTCTAAATCCTATATGTTATCTACAGGTTGACTGGAGTCAAGCTAGGAAACAGTCTTACAGTTTCACCATTAAATATGTCTACATCTAACTATTACTTGTGTTGGGAAGTGGTTTCAAAGTCATGATTGATGATTGGATCTATCATCAAAATTAATGGGTGTCATTTTGCTGTTTTACAATGTTAACTTCAGTAAAACTAGATCACTCTTAACAAAAACAAACACAAATGTTACATCAGCACTTTATATTTCAAAAAGACCCTGGACTCACTCTTTCTCAGCTTGTTTTCCAAGTACTAATTTAAGTAGTAAGTAGTGAAGAAACCTTCTCAGGACACAAAACTATCTCAAAATTAAGAGAGGAGCAAATTTGTTTGTTTTCTATTAATAAAAATTGTGTTAAACTGCTTGGTCTTTTAGGCCTTCAGATCAATCTTTGATTCTTTCAATCAATCGGAACTCAACTAACACTTACCATTCCTGTTATGTCAGAATCTGTTTAATACCAATATTTAGATTAGAACCAGCAATGATTACATGTCCAATAATCTACACAACATAGTGAGTAAGTGGGGTTAACGCCGCTTTTAACAGTATTCCAGTTCTATCACGGCAAGTCAGCTAAATGTGGGAGGAAAGCCTGAAGTGATGCAGGCCTTAGACGTTCACCACTTTGGTGAAACTCATGAGCACAGGTATGGTGCTGACAAACCTAGAAACATAATCGGGGCAAAGTGGGATTCGAACCCACAATCATAGGATTCTGGCGTGCCCAAGGGACGCAACTCTGCACAGCGAATTGCGCGCCTAAGACGACTGGGCCACCTGTGCCCCCTACACAACATCGTACAACAAAGACAATTTCACCATCATGTAACATGTCTACACTCAACCATTACCACTCCTGTTATGTCAGAATCTGCTTATCCTTATGTTTGCAGTAGGACTTTCCAGCTATTACCCATGATCACTGTTGACCTCTTCCACTATTGCTCTGTCTGATCAACGACCACCTCCTGCTGGGCCTGTGTGAAATCCTCTTACCATAACTTATTCAACATGTTCAATAGCAGTAATTATTACAGGGGAATGACAGTCCTGCACCATGACTGTGTAACATATTTATTTTATGAAAACAAAACCTATCTAGATATATATACAAAAGCATGTCTAGCCAGCTCTAGCCTGCTGTATTCCATCCATGAAATCAGCATCAGGAAATTTATTGTTTTAATTTTAGAGGCGAGGTGAAATGAGGTGAAATGGGGTTTAACGTCGCGTCCAAGATTATTGCGCTTATATAGCGACGTGCATGTACGTGTGTGTGTTTGTGTGGCTGCTTGTACTAGTCCGGACTGATGCCGATTTATAGTGCTAGCTCACTGAGATACCATGGCACAGTTTAACATGAATACCCCACTCAGACACAGTATACTGACTCCAAGCCAACCAGTCCTTGTTTTAGTCCCTTAATGCTGAGCGCCAGACAGGGTAACAACAAGTACCATCTTTTAACGTCTATTGGTATGACACGTCCGGGGATCGAACCCCGGACCTTCCGCTCTCCGGGCGGACGCTCTATTACTAGACCACGGAGGTGGTCTTTTAGAGGAGAGAAATGCATTGTGTAATAAAAGATTTCATAGGCTATATGTTAGGGAATGAAGAAATAAATCAGTACTATTCACCTCAAGTCAGAAACGAAGCAAAACAGGTCATGTAAACAAGCTTTGTAATTTGCTTCACACGTTCAATACATGCAATGACCTTCTGTTTTCCTGGTCAGTCTAGCAGAATTGAGTGGAACTTTTGTCAATTAAATATTTTTAAATGCCAATGCTTCTTCATAAATCTTGAACGCATACAGACATGGTTTATGCATCAAAACATAGCATTCACACCGCAAAAATGTAATTAGTTTCAACATGTTTAAAGTGATTGTTCTCAGAATTGAGCTACACACAGCTCCGTCTGCTAGGCAATCATTGAACCCGAAACTATTCAAACACTCTGATCTTATGGTCAAGTTTATTGTTTAGATGAATTTAGAAGATGATTACAATATAAATACAGTCAAGACTCATTAATCGGACACTCATTAATCCTACGATCAGTTTTATCCAACATTTATGAAGGTAACTGATAAGTCAGTGCAAATTAGACCTGTTAATCCGACAATCTCGCACTTCCGTGTCCGACACACCTAATTTGCAACAAATTGCTGAAATCACTCATTAATCAGTCACGTTAATCCAACACATTGATCAGCGTACTTCGCGGTCATCTGCCCATGAATACACAGACCCATGCTTTGATGCGAGATGAGTCAGCTAGTGGCTGAATATTACAATGGCTGCAGAGAAACTAGCGTAACAATAAACAATAAACCCTTTCAATAAACAATCTCATTAAAACCAGATCTAAGTTCTCCATACTCCTGAGGACATCCCATTACAGGTCTCGTTAGAACGACCTTTCGTAAATTTTGACCGACCAATGAAATGACTAACTGGAAGTCGACATTAGCCAATAAGAAATCAGCTTTCTTGAGCTTAGCGACACTAGTTTTAAACTGGCGACTTCCATTCCAGACTATGCCTCCAAAAGTATCCTGAATCAGTCATACAGCCCGTAACTGTAGTTCAGAATGCCCTGTTAAGTTTTTTTGAGGCTGCATGATTAGAAAACATATTCCGCTAACAAAATAACATAACAGTATCCGACATACTCATTAACCCGACATAGTCATCTGCCACCAACCATGTTGGATTAACAGGACTTGACTGTATAAGGTTTTAGGTAAAATGTCACAGCATCAAAATAGCACCAAACGAAACAGTGACAAATTGGATAAAACAACACCTAGCTTGGTAAAAAGGGCACCTTGACCTATATATAGACAACAGCAAAATGTTAAAATAAAACTATGTTAATAAGATTTTGTTTAAATAAACATGACAAGAATTGAACACAATATAGGATGTATTCCAGTGTACTTTTTGTTTAATACAAAAAGTTTACAAAGGGCAAAGAAGTTATGCAGCAGTTGCAAATTCATTTTAAACAATAATTCATATCATCAGTTTTGCTAAGTTTGACTTTCACTTACACTTAAAAATGTCATATCATGTACACAGAAAGCCATTTCAGCATTAGAAATTGGCACTAGTCCTGTAGTCCATGCCAAACTGCCCAGTAGTAAGGTATCAGTAGAAATTTGCCATTTGTAAGGGTTTTGCTATATGTTACAGTGTATTATTATTTTAAGGACTCGTGGACAAAAAATGTTAGTTTCTACAGCTGCATTTTTTAAATATGTGATGAATATGATGATTTATACTAAAATTCTTTGTTGTATTTATTATGTTGCATCACTGAACCATTTCAAAACACTTGCGAAGACACTTGACATGCCTGAATAAATGACTTATGAAGAAAGCACACAAAAATGTAAACATGGTAAACAAAGTGAACTAAAGTTTATAATCAACATGTGGAATAAACATGGTAAATAAATATGAGAAAGTTGAGATGTAGTGCAAGCTAACTGTGAGAATGTCTCCAAAAACACACAGAACCATCGATGTACTGTTCCTTTAAGAATCTTGTCCGTCTGTGCGGAATAAATGCCTGTTGTAGGTGTTGGGTGAATTATGGTAAATAATGAAATGATGCAAAGCACATGGTAAGACAGTATTTGTTTTCTCTATACAGCGAAACCTTGCTACTTCTGACCTCGTTAGTCTGGAAACCCCGCCTTCAGGACAATCTTGTTCTGAACGACTGTATATATCCAATGATTTAATACCCCATAGCCATGATCTATTATTCTGGAAATTTGTTAATCTGATGTATAACAGAACATAAACATCCTAACTATATCAACGAATATTTAAATTATGAGCCGTTTTCTGATACAAATCTAAGGTCTACTAATGACGAGATAATGTTTCTGTATAAGGAGACGCATCGTTGGTCCCTTTCTTCTCATTCGATACACTTACACAAGTCAGAGTTTGAGCACATGCGCTTGATTTGAAGTGTTCAAGAACTTTACACAGCTGGCAAATGACCAATGTCACTCTAACTGTCCACAGAATAGCTGAACTCCAGAACTGTCAACAGTCATGGTGTGTCGTGTGTTGTTAATTAAAAATCGACGAACAAACATAACGGTGCAATATTTCTTAACATCTGCTTTAAAGCTACTATTAACCAAAAGAATATAACTTACAGAGATATTGCTGATTAGGGTTGTATTCTCAAAAACCTTCTTGACTACGCTGACGGACATGTAAACAGCTTCATACGAATGTAGAGGGCGCAGTAAACTTGGATATGTCTCTAACATTATATTCAAGCGAATCGCCATGTCGCAAAGCAAAGAGAAACCCCGTTTACTACGATTAAGAGTTAAGAGTTACCTCCCCTTAACCAGTGCGTTGGCAATCTAGACTTTCTCCAAGCGTTTCTTTTGGTGGTATTATCAATATTACCGCAGAATATTTTGCTGACTTCTGTGCAACGTGTATACAAACGGTGCGGTTCTGCAGGTGTCAGTCCTAGATGTAGGATTTGTCTGGAAATGAAATCATCTCAAGTCGAACTACCTGATTACCTAATGTCGGCCTATTCATGTACCTAGTAATGTCGGTTGATAAATTTCATTCCGATATATTATGGAAATATAATTCATAACATAGATTATTTGACAAATAATTAAAACATAACTAATGTTATATAAGACATATTCAGTTATAATGTAATTTTGTTCGTTTTTACTTCTATTAAATATACGTATCCTTTTACGATACATTTTAATTTATCAATACGTTTCAGTCTCCAATTTCTTAAATAAATTGTGAAAAGATAACTATAAATTAGTAAATAATATATAGTATCTTGCGACAGCTTGGCATTGCAGATTGACTTGCATCCTCGATTGCAGTATATTATATCTCCATTCTAGTATGATGAATAACCATTGCATGGTTGATTTCATGACAGTAGCAGAAGCTGTCAATAATCGCAATAGATGCTGATGTCGGTTTAAATAGTATATTATATACATGAAACATTTTTACCAGCGACAGTGTATGTTTTATGTATTACAATCAAAACGCGATAATAACTAAAAGTAAGTGACACAAATAATCTTTATATAAGCAATTACCATTGCATCTATTTACATTTCAAGTGGCGATAATGTTGTAGTGTGCCGACTCACGTACAATTTTATATGATAATAATAATAAGGAGAAGAAGAACATTAAGAAGAAGAACAAGAACAAGAACAAGTCTTCCACCCAACACAGCATGCTCAAAGCGCTAACAACACACTTTCATATGACGTACACTATATGTATTGGGCTGACAAAATGTTTTAAGCCTTGACTTGAAGATATCAAGTTGTGGGGATATTATGAGGGCAATTGTAAAAACATTCCATTTCTGCCTGTGCAACAGTTATTCGAATTATCTGTTTACTACAGAAAGCATAGTATTACCGTTTACAAAGCACAGGGGAAAATATACCACTTTCTTATGACACACGTGCATGTTCTGTACAAAGTGAGGGGGCGGAGAGATATTTGAATCGAGTTTCTAAAGTTGAAGTCGACATTGAACAATGTCGATAAATGAAACTTTAGTTTTAAATATTTTCATTCTTATCACAACGTAACATTTTCCTTCAAACAAGGGAGAGGTGACTTATGCCGGGTTTTTTTCTTTTATAGTTTTACAGTTCTCTGTGAATTTAACAAATTTCCGAGGTAATGAATCATATACATCAAGACGTAATGTCCTTACATTTTGTTTTAGTTTCTTGTTTAACGCCGCACTCAACAATAATCCAACTATATGACGAGGGTCTGCAAATAATTGAGTCTGGAAGTCCAGTGACTGGCATCGCGTGGTCTACGCAATTGGAATACGATGACATTCATCAACCAAGTCAGCGAGTCCGACCCCCGATCCCGTTAGTCGCCTCTTACGGACAAGCATGGGTTGCCGAAGATATTTTTAAATGCAGATTTTCGAAACAGTTAACTTCCGAAAACAGGTGCTTCCAGATCCACTGAGTCCGCTGTAATGGTGTTTCACCGTACCATGTGATTCGATACATTCAATTACGACCAATTGAATGATGACACAACCAAGTTGACGGCATCAACATTGCTGGGTTACACAAAGTGAAACATACCACCTCACCGTTTTGACATCTTTCCATCGCATCAGCAGTTCCAATACCGACATCGCCGCAAGACAATACCTTCTCCGCCCCAGTTGCTCTCTAAGGTACACCTGAATTCCACAAGACCATACCTGCTCCGCCCCAGTTGCACTCTAAGGTACACCTGGATTACACAAGACCATACCTGCTCCGCCCCAGTTCCCCTCTAAGGTACACCTGGATTCCACAAGACCATACCTGCTCCACTCCAGTTCCCCTCTAAGGTACACCTGGATTCCACAAGACCATACCTGCTCCACTCCAGTTCCCCTCTAAGGTACACCTGGATTCGACAAGACCACACCTGCTCCACCCCAGTTCCCCTCTAAGGTACACCTGGATTCCACAAGACCATACCTGCTCCGCCCCAGTTGCCCTCTAAGGTACACCTGGATTCCACAAGACCATACCTGCTCCACCCCAGTTGCCCTCTAAGGTACACCTGGATTCCACAAGACCATACCTGCTCCACCCCAGTTGCCCTCTAAGGTACACCTGGATTCCACAAGACCACACCTGCTCCGCCCCAGTTGCCTTCTAAGGTACGCCTGGATTCCACAAGACCACACCTGCTCCACCCCAGTTCCCCTCTAAGGTACACCTGGATTCCACAAGACCACACCTGCTCCACCCCAGTTGCCCTCTAAGGTACACCTGGATTCCACAAGACCACACCTGCCCCACTCCAGTTGCCCTCTAAGGTACGCCTGGATTCCACAAGACCATACCTGCTCCACTCCAGTTCCCCTCTAAGGTACACCATGATTCCACAAGACCACACCTGCTCCACCCCAGTTCCCCTCTAAGGTACACCTGGATTCCACAAGACAGCACCTGCTCCACCCCAGATGCTCACTAAGGTACACCTGGATTCCACAAGACCACACCTGCTCCACCCCAGTTGTCCTCCTAGGTACACCTAGATTCTACAAGACCACACCTGCTCCACCCCAGTTGCTCTCTTAGGTACACCTGGATTCCACAAGACCACACCTGCGCCATCCCAGTTGCTAGCTGAGGTATACCTGAGTGGAACATTGTCAGAGACAAAGGATGGCCGCCCGTTCCTTCTTTTCTCAGACGGTGATGATGACAAGTTGTCTGCCTTATGTAAATCCTGAGCAGATACAAGCCGAACACACTGATGATATAATCTACATGGATGGAACACGCACAGCCTGACAAGAGTTGTGGAATCAAGTGTGCATCATTCGTCATGGATATGTGATATAATCGAATAAATTGAGATCAGTGATATGTCATAATGTCTCTATAAAACATAAGATAAATGAATTGTTATGTATTCTCAATGTGTCTATTTATTCTCAAAGTACAGACATGAGATCACAATAAATAAGACACAGACTTATATGGTGTGATGTTATTCTGTACCTGGGTTTTTCCATTTACTGTCTAAGGCAACAGGTGGCTACTTCACTGGAATGTTGTTGTTTTAAGCTGTCTGGAAAGTGGCTGTGTTACAACAGGCAAGTTACCACGAGCAAAGATCACCGTCTTGAAAGAACGCATAGAATGGTTTCCTTTTTTCAGACAATATAAGAGGGCAAGAGTGTCTCACATTACATCTCACATTACATCAAGACCAGTGGCTGTGTGAAGATTATCTTTTCACCCTGGGTATCCAGCCTATATTTTGAAAGCTTGACTACTGCTGCTAGGTGAATATTATAATCACTGACCGTGTTGCTGGTGTCACTGCAGTTTTATTTTTTCTGCCATTTTTTTTTATACTGTCATTGAATTTTGTACTGCCACTCTATTGGGTACTGCAATTGTAATTACTTTGCAGTAATCTGTTGATATTATATTACAATTGTTAAAAATATGCCATTTACCTGTTGTTTGTTGGAATTCTTTTAAGTATTGGTTTCTGGGTTAACTATTGTTTCAACTTGGAAGTCGACACGTAACAAAATAAATATATCATCCGTTGGAAGAGTGTAATTGTCATCGTGATCTAGGAATACGTACACAGAACTGAATATGTATAGATACAGCGATATATTCGTTGTGTTATGGGCATTCTGTAGATGGAACTATTGTAACGGCAAGGCGAAACAGCTCGGTCATATTTGTGGGACGCTTCAACCAATATACATTTCCGATTCGAACAGTTAAATATATTTAACATCATAACAGCACGGACAGGGGATCCTGTCATAACCTATTTAAACGTGTCTGCTTCATGTGGGATAGCACTAAAAAACACAAGAATCATGATAAGGGTTAACTTTGGATTCGTACTGTTGTGAACCGTATTACTCTTATCTTTAGATAATTCAATATAAGACCCACTCAAATAATATTTAGTCTTCCATTATGTTACGGGGCATCATTATCGCTGTTTTTCATTCTGATAGAAATATTTGTTCGAACTTGTATTATGTAATAAAGTAAAAACATCTGAACTGCAGTTCAAAACAAAGTGAACACATGAAAATTGGATTTGAGCAAAAAATTGCAAATGTTACTATGCTGGAAACAGTTTCCGAAAGACTGCAAACTTAAGGTGCAGAACACTATGAGACCCGAATCAAACACGTCTCCATCGAATAACAATTTTTTATTTGTTTCATTTTTAGCCACCCTGCAACATGACTGTGTACTTTCTTTTGCCCGGCAGTTTATTTAGATTTATGTAATGTTCTGAAAGAATTTTGAAAATAATTCCTTGTTATCTAAGTGATAAAATTCCTTAAGAGGGTTTGGTAAGAGAATATGAGGATGCGGCAATTAGGCCAGAACACGCAAGAGTTATAATGACCCCATTGCTGATAAATAACATCCAGTTACTTCAGTTTACAAAGATGCTCGGGCAGATGCAAATGACACTTTGGTATGAGACAGACAATTTCTAAAATGTGTCAATTAATATCTTTCCCTGTAAGACGATAAAGGGCGTCGGCCAGACGATCTATCGAAACGATTCTACCAAAACGCAGCGCAAAGACAGACAGTCAACAGTCTTTTGTGGGAAAAGTTTCACCTGGACACATTCTCTTAACGCTATTGGCAGGGAACAGCGTATCGGTGTTGAGTGTGAGAAGAATTATATCCGCACAGGACA